ATTGAGTGCCTATAAAAAGACATATAACCGGGAGACAAAAGCCCCAGCACTGCAGTTGTATATATCAGATACTGACTCACAACTCGGAATTCGAAACTCAAGGGGGACAGATGGCAGGAGGTGGGGTTTCTGCCCAAACCAGTTTTTTCGAGTACTTCCTTACGATCGCTCACAGGAAGGAAAAAACACGCGACAAACTCATGCCTCCCTCCAAATACGATGATTCCCCAGCAGATATAATCATCCCAAGGCTCGCTTAGAACGTTCTGCTCGTAAATCGCAAATGCTAATTGCTAACTTTTTATTATAACATTTAATGGCTTTTTTAAGCTGTCGGAAAGATTTAAAGGCAACTAATTCGTGCATCTACGTATGTATTTCGTTCTCGGGTCCTCGGTGCTTGTGACAAATGGGGAAGTCGAGACTACAACGTTTAGGAAAATCCTGGCTTGGGAAATATTTGTTGCAGACTCCATGTTATGTTTGTTTCCGGTACAAGTTCTCCCCAACAGCGTCAGCGTTCGCGTTTTCTGTTCTGTCGGGGTATTTACGGAGATATGAATATGAATGTGTGCAAAGTGTTTGCGGTAACTCAATTAAAAAGCCGTTTGGATTTTATCACAGCATTAAAGGCAACAATTACGCCGTTGCCTTTGTTTCTTCTGATCTTAATTGAAATGGTATAAACTGCAAAAGCGATGATGCATTATTTGATGAGCGTGCCGAAAGATAAATTTACCCTTTGTAAAGTAGAAAAGTAAAATGGTGCTATTTAGGAGGGTTCGTTTAATCAGCTTCAAGGGACCCCGAGCCCATATATTGCCGAGTTCAGACTGGTTATTTCCGATCTCTAGCTTTCTGTTTAAACAAGTGTGCTATTTCCTTGCTGGTGTTTGCTTTTTTTTACTTTTAATTTGTGGCAGTCCATTGTTATCGCAGACACTGCAAAAACGACGCCAGCTGATCTTAAAGTATTTACAGCTAAAGTTGACAGTAACAAAATAGTTAAGTACACAAAAACAAATGCCTGGCAGAAGCGTATGTAAATACACATTTAAATTAACAAATGGTGGCATAGTTGGTCTCATAATACCTAAGCATTTAAGCATTATTTATGTGAAAATATACCATATACATATATGTCGTATTTTATGAAGATTTCTGATTTCCCTACGACATAAATTCGATGGCAAATTATAAAAGGCAATGTGCTAAATATGACCGGAAATTTACACTTGGCTGCTAACTCATGAAAGGATCGTGCATGGGGACTCAACTCCGCTCTGTTGTTCTTTTGTATGCCAAACACGGCGTATACGTGACATTCATGCGTCATGTGGGCCCGATTTGCGATTGCATAAACATTTTGCACCTGGAAAGGGAATAAAGATCTTGATTTCGGCTTTGATAAATGCATTTCACCTGACTTTATAATTTATTATCAATTTCATAGAGGACTTTGGGAATCAGTGAAATAAATACGCGAAGCGACAAAACTGTTGACGCTTTGAGCTCGGTGATTTATCATATGACAAATGAGGCTTTGCGCGGTGGTGTCTTCGATAAGAATGCTGACACCCCCTTGGTCCGAGGAAACCAGCCAGCAAACTAACATTATTGCAATTGAGCATTTATAAGGCATTTGTTGGTGGGGTTTAGACAAGCAATGCCCCCCCTTCCAGATTCCGCAAGTAAACACAATGTCAGCCCACACTTTTGCGGTTTATCTGGAGCGTGCGTCTGCAACCTATCCTATCACATGACCAGGCGGGTCTGCGGTCTTCAGAGTGATTTTACTGGCACGTGACGTGGTTCTCTGTGTCAACATTTGCTCTGACTTTGCACACCACTCCGGCAGTAATTAAAAAGAATACGCATACCGGTACATATCTGGATCGTAAACTGCAGCAAACAGGGGATGAGCAAATACTTGTGTTGCCACAGCCGGTAGGTTGGTCAGATAAAAGTCTATGCAAATATTATGACTGCCAGTTGAGTAAACGCCTGGGCTGGCGACACCCCCATAAATATGATTTTGAGTCAATGTTTCAGTAAATAATTATATGTTCGTAAAAATTTTATGGCCAACTATAATCCAGTTGACATTGACAAGTCCTGCAATTATCTAGGTTTAAATGTGCACCTTAAGCTTTATGTGTTTATTTACGTTTTATTCTAGCAAACTAGTTACAAGCTCTCGTTCCTAAGGTTTATTATTTCAATATCTCATTCAATTATTGTGTCTTTTTAAATAAAGTTGTAAAAATTGTTATCTACATCTAAAATTTCTTTAGTTATCATGGTTCACAATTGTTCTTTAATAGCGGTTTGGTTACTATGACTCATGAAAAAAGAGAGAGGGACATTCCCTTGGTTTGAGGGAACTACTCCATCAACCTAGGATTCCTTGGCCTGACGACCTATAATTAACGTCGAGGACTACACTGAATTGATTTTAGTTGATTTATTGTTTGTGTCTTACCGATGGATTAGCACCTGGTTTAAGTGCTAGAGCAAATACCTAATGACTGTGTGTCCTAACCCATTCCTTCCGATTTTGGTTTTTTTCAGGTCCCGCCCACTGGGCCAAGGACTACCCGCAGGCGTCGGGACATCGCCAGTCGCCCGTCGATATCACGCCTTCCAGCGCCAAGAAGGGCAGTGATCTGAAAGTCTCTCCCCTCAAGTGGAAGTATGTGCCGGAGCACACTAAAAGCCTAGTCAATCCTGGTAAGAATATGTTTGGTTTTATTTATTTATTTGATCCTTGTGCAACAACAGACACCTTATACTCGTAAATAAAGTAAAATAAGATTATTAAATGTATTAAATTTAAATTTATTTGTACAATTTTTAGGATACTGCTGGCGCGTGGATGTAAACGGCGAAAAATCCGAGCTGACTGGTGGACCGCTGGGCGACCAGATCTTCAAGCTTGAGCAGTTCCACTGCCACTGGGGTTGCACGGACTCTAAGGGCTCGGAGCACACCGTTGACGGCGTGTCCTACGCCGGCGAGCTGCACCTCGTGCACTGGAACACAACCAAGTACAAGTCCTTTGGTGAGGCTGCTGCTGCTCCCGATGGCCTGGCCGTGTTGGGCGTGTTCCTGCAGGCTGGTGCCCACCATGCCGAGCTGGACAAAGTGAGCAGCTTGCTGCAGTTCGTCCTGCACAAGGGCGACCGCGTCACTCTGCCCCAGGGCTGCGATCCCGGCAAGCTGCTGCCCGATGTGCACACCTACTGGACGTACGAGGGCTCCCTGACCACCCCTCCTTGCTCCGAGTCGGTCATCTGGATCGTGTTCAAGACGCCCATCGAGGTGTCGGACGACCAGCTGAACGCCATGCGCAACCTGAACGCCTACGACGTCAAGGAGGAGTGTCCCTGCAACGAGTTCAACGGAAAGGTCATCAATAACTTCCGCCCTCCGCTGCCGCTGGGAAAGCGTGAGCTGCGCGAGATCGGTGGCCACTGATTGCCCCAAGCCCTGGTCACCGCCGTCTCTTGGATAGTCGACGCCTTCGAGTCACACGCTTAGCTGTTCGCACCTCACACATCGTCACATTCATTAGCGCAGCAGCAGGCTAGGATCGGACTAAGCCTCGAGCTGGACCAGCACACCCCACTGTTCAATTCTCGTCTCTAGTTCGTACTACTCGCAGCAAGCATAACGCCTCCATGGGCATCCGTATCCGTACTCGCATCAGTGTTTGTCTAGCTGTAACCTTAAATGTACGCCTGTTTGTTTGTTTGTTCGTAAATCGTTTGCAAAATGACAATTAGATTAATATTATTATGGTATTACAAACTAAATATAATTTGCTTAAATGTTGCATATGAAGGCCGTGCAGTGCATTTTTATTTTACTCTAAGGTCTTCGTTTGGTTCTTTTACAGCTGGTTTTATGTACATAAATAGTTCATATATTTTGTTATTAATTAAACTATCGTTCTCCTTAGGAATTCAGGATCACTAGAATTCAGTAGAGGTGTTCTTAGACACTATCTGACTGACCAAAGTGTGGCAAAAACCAATCGGAGAATGGTGTAGTTTGATACCCTATCGGATACCCTTCCCTTTGCATTCTTCTCTTGCGGTGTTGCAATTTTCAATTCTAACTCAGTTTAAGCTTATTTAGTCAATTTTGGAGGAACCGTTCATTCGGGATTCTTTCGAGTGACCTCAATCTTTGTATGTGCTTTATAGGTTTGATCCGTACATTAATAGGTATCCGAATGTATCACACCAGCTTTAGTATGCTTTTGTGAAATGCTGGGTAGTGCTTATCCCTCGGGTCTCAAAGAGACTGTTGTTAGCGGGTTAAACATTAGAAAGCATCTGGGTAAGTAGGGGCTCCACTTTAAACCAAGAAAAGATGCTAACTTCGGCACATTTTGCAATTTGTGTATTAAGAATCAATCCATTTTGGTTAAATGAAAAAGAGAAGAACTAAGAACTGATGAAAAAACAAATTTCAGTATTATTTTAGAATTGAATAAAATAAGTAAATCTCAAGTGGAAATATCTATAAATATGTATGATATAGTATTCCGATTTTCATAAATCTAAAACCGAAATTATATAGTAATACAAAATTGCTACAAAATATGTTAAAAGCCAGCAAAGTTATATTTATTTTCCGATCGTTTCTATGGAAGTTATATGATAGAGTCATCCGATCTGGGCCGGTCCGAATAATATACTAGTGAGAAAATTAAGAAGATTGTCTGGATTATCCATTCAGATAGCTACATAACTTAGAGACTAGTTTGCGTAGAAACGGCTCGATCGACTAGGCTATACTTTATAGGGTCGGAAATGACTCCTTTACTGCGTTGAGAACTTTAAGGACATACAAAATTATTTTTGAAAATTTCGAGTTCACATAAGACCACCTGAAGTCGGGGGAATCTATGCAAGTCAGGGAAATGTAAGTCAGTAAAATATATACATATATCACAATTATTTTTATTTATTGAAACGTCTTGAGGACTTGACAATATTTGTACACATGTAGAAATCAGTAACAGAAAAATATACCAAATATAACGATAATAGAACTAATAACCTTCGGTTATAGCTTTCAAGCTATAAACACTAATCTGTTCTTATGGAAAAGTTCTGCAATTCCTTGGGCTTACTTGTCCATTGAAGGAAATAAGAACTTTTTAATTGACCCCACGCCAATTGGTACTCAGCCGCCGAAAATTTACTGGCCAAATACGATGTTGGCTCCGAAGTTAATACGTTTTGTGGGCGGGCATCTCTCAGTTTCGGATGGGAACAATGCAGATCCTGAAAGGATTTGAAGAGGCTGTACTTGCTGACCGCTGAGGCAGCTTGGGGAGTGTTCATCTTCTTCTTGGTCACCCCTTGCCGCGTTCCATTAACAGAAATATCATAGGGCCTGTGAAGATTAAGACTGAATTATGTGAAGGAAAGTAAACATTGGGTTGTACCTTAGTTCCTCGGGCAGGAGCGACCAAGCCAAGCCATTGGGGGAAGGCTGCCAGTCAAGGCGCTGGGAGTGCTCAAAGATTAGATCGCAACTATGGCAAATGCGTATTTGAGGCTTCTGTGGCTGAAATCGCGAATGCTGAAAGGGCCTGTCCTCGAATCGCCCATAGATGGCCCGCTCCAAGGACTCCCGATGGGCATCGGCGCAACAGAAGTTGAGGCTGCTGAAGTAGATGGGCTTGGCGATCAGCGAGTCTATCAACGCGCCCTGCACTCCAAGCACATTCCAGCGCGCAAGCTTATCACTGCACGACATGGATAATGTGCGTTCTCCTCGTCCTGGCTTGGTCCGCAGGGCTCCTGGCGTCTGCTGCATGTCATCGGACCCCACATCCGACTCGGGGCAGCGTATCAGCTTGGCGCCAGTATAAACCATCTCGGATTCTTCCTCATCCAGTCTCTGACGCTTGGCCGGCTTTTCTGCATCTTTCTCCGCCAGTATGCAGGCGTCGCCACAGGGCGTCTGAGTGCTCAGGAAGTGAAACTCCAAGTGATCATCGAGCTGATAGCACTTCTGTTTGCTGTCCCATTGAAAAATCCCCTCCTGCTTCAGCTCTCGATACAGATAGCGCAGGAAGGCTCGACGCGCTAGAACCTCGGCATGGGAATCGTTCAGAAGGTAGCCGTTAGGACATAATCTGGAGGAACCAATGCATTTTGTTCCGCAACCGATGGCCACCACTTTGAGGCTTCCAGTTATCCGGTTGTACTCCACAATCCCGGCTAAAACGGTCCACTGGCTCGGAGTGGGTTTGCCGGTCTTTGGCAGGGATTTAAATTTGTCAAAGCAGAGGTTTGCTATATCCTGTAGGGACGGCTTATTGTTCTCATTAGCACACATTATTTACAATTTGTTTATTTATACCGCTACTAGTGTGACCAGCTTAGCATATTCCGGTTGGTATGTTTTGCATATAACACTCTGGTCACATTGCTCGTTTATTTACTTTCACAGATTCTTGAAATCTACTTGAAACAAACAAAAAGAGGTTTGTTTTATTATTAAACATGCCGAAAGTAGTCTCGCGCAGCATCGTCTGCTCCGATACCAAGGACCAGGAGGAATACAATGAGGAGAAGCCCCTGAACATATACTACTGCCTGTGCAGCAAGATGGCTTTGATTTTGGGTAAGCTAGTTGTGGACATGGAAACCCGCATCGAGTCTCATATTTACACCCATTTATAGATTGCACCCTGGACCAGTTGCCGCTGCGAGAGGTGGACAACGCCCGGGTGATCAATGCCAACGAACACGCGAACAAACTGACTTATAATCCCACCCCAAAGATGCTCTACATAAAGCGCAAGAGCAGGGGCAACGCGATAGAGAAACAGTACCGGTATAAGGTAAGTCGACCCCTGTCTGATTTCCCCAATTTAGCCCACCTTAATATATGTACCTACCATTATCCTGCAGTGCCGCAGCTGCAATTTGCCACTCTACTATCGCCATAGCCCAGACTCCCACGTGACCTTCGTTATGTTCAATGCCCTGATACGCAACAAAGGCGATGCGCCCATGGCCCAACTCCTAAGTGCCGTGGGCAACGGCAAGGGCAATACCAAGCCTGCGGCCGCAAAACCAGCTGCGTCCACCGCAGGCGCCGAGGATTCCGGTATAGTGGACGCCAGTGGAAAGAAGGTCATGGTAACGAGGCACACAAAGAATATGGGCAAGTTCAGCTCGGTTACGGTGTCCACCATCGACGAGGAGGAAGACGAAATTGAAGCGGTAAGTTTTTAGCCTTAGAAATCCATGAAATGATCCTCATACTCGTCTCATTCTACAAACAGCGTGAGATTGCCGACAGCTATGCAAACAATGCGCGTATCATAGAGAAGCAGCTGCAGCGGAAAGGCGGAAAGCTCAGCGACGTGGGCGTCAAAGGAAAGCCAGAAGATGCGCCCCCGCCACAAAAGAAACAGCGCGGCACACTATTGGAGAGATAGTCCAGATTTTGTTCGCCAAATAAATATGGCAGCGTTTCTAAATGTAGTGTATCGCGAGATTACAAAAATGTTTGGGAGTTTGGCTCAAGGTAGGGATGTTTTGCATGGTACCTAACAAGTCCGCATTGAGGATTCGTCGTGGGTCGCTTGGGTTTTAGTTGAACGTGGGACTTGTTCGTCCAGAGTTTTCTTAATACTACATGTTGTCATTGGAGAACAGTGTGTATATAGGAAATAGTCAAGGGGCGGGACGCAGTCCGAAGTAGGTGAGGCCTGTACCTATTCTGGTTGTTTCTGGCCTGCTCGAGCCTGGGACATCTTCAACTCTTGAGGTCTTAAATAAACTTATTTTGGTGATGGGGCAAACTCGACTTAATCAAATAAAGAAAACAATAACCTACTCTCAAGCGAAACTTTTAAATTTCTTCTTTCGCTGGAATAACTGCCAGTGTCGCAAATGCGTTTACCAACACTTTAAGTGCTGCCAACTTTTCAGTTCTGAGTAGATGTAGAATGTCAACAATATGCACAAAGAAGAAGAATTAAAGATTGATGTATTTTTCTAAATGTACATATATTCATAAAACTACCGAGATTTTCGCTATAATACAGTCTCATAGCGACGTTAGCGCTGTTTAGCTCTTAGGAGGGCCCGACAAGCAAAAACCCTACCAAGCACGAAATCATGAGGCTATTCATAAAATTCCATGTTTTTAATAGAGTCACAAGGGCGTAAGAGGGCCTAGCTTGTATAGCAAAGCATTATAGAATTATAATTCTATCATGTAGCAAAACAGGGGAAAACCCCTCAGTACAGTGTTACCAGCCTTATAAGAAAGAATAAATGCCTCACTCTTCAAGTCACTTCTGCAAGGCGTTAATTCTTTATTGCCGAAAAGGGCGACGGGCACACTAATTTTTCCAAGCGACGGACCACCTCACTTAAACCACAAAAAAAAAGAAGATACATATACAGAAAACAAAATCGCCATTGAACGGTGCCTAAAAAGAACGCGAATCGGGTGTGTGTGAGAAATGCGACGCTCACAGTGGCGCCGCTCCACTCTTTAGACGCTCCAGAAGCTCGGGTTCGCCTGGGTCCGCTCCACTCTTCGCTTGACTAATACAAACATCGGGCGGGGAGGAGGAGGAGGAGGGAAGGCGAAGGCACCAAGGAAAGAGTGCGCTGCGACAGCAACGCAACGTCGGCTCCTCAGCGGATAGGATGTTCTCCGGATCCGGCAGCCATGCCCACACCATCAGCTACGGAGGCGGGATTGGGCTGGGGGGCGGGGGCAGCAGCACTGGCAGTGGTGGAGGGGGCGGGGCTGGTCTGCAGGACTGCGACGGCTACGACTTTACCAAGTGCGAGAACGCGGCCCGCTGGCGAGGCCTGTTCACGCCGTCGCTGAAAAAGGTGCTGGAACAGGTGCATCCGCATGTCACCGCCAAGGAGGATGCACTGTTCTATGTGGAGAAACTCTGCCTCCGCCTGCTGGCCATGTTGTGCGCCAAGCCGCTGCCCCACTCCGTCCAGGATGTGGAGGAGAAGGTGAACAAGTCATTTCCGGCCCCCATCGACCAGTGGGCCCTCAACGAGGCCAAGGAGGTGATTAACTCCAAGAAGCGAAAGTCTGTCCTGCCCACGGAGCGTGTACACACGCTGCTCCAAAAGGATGTGCTGCAATATAAGATCGACAGCTCGGTATCCGCCTTCCTGGTGGCCGTCCTCGAGTACATCTCGGCCGACATCCTCAAAATGGCTGGCGACTACGTGATCAGGATCGCGCACTGCGAGATAACCAAGGAGGACATAGAGGTGGTGATGAACGCCGACCGCGTCCTCATGGACATGCTGAACCAGAGCGAGGCGCAAATCCTGCCAAGTCCATTGTCGCTGCCCGCCCAGCGAGCCACCGCCACATACGAAGAGACCGTCAAGGAGCTGATCCACGACGAAAAGCAGTACCAGCGCGACCTGCACATGATCATACGGGTCTTTCGCGAGGAGCTTGTGAAGGTCGTGTCGGACCCCAAGGAGCTGGAACCGATATTCTCCAACATCATGGACATCTACGAAGTGACGGTGACGCTTCTCGGCTCCCTGGAGGATGTCATCGAGATGTCCCAGGAGCAGAACGCCCCATGTGTGGGGAGTTGCTTCGAGGAGCTAGCCGAGGCGGAGGAGTTTGATGTTTACAAGAAGTATGCCCACGATGTGACGTCGCAGGAGTCGCGCGATGCGCTTACCAATCTCCTGTCCAAGCCCGGGGTACGTTTGATTCTCACTAAAAGCTTTGATCTTTACTGATAACTTTCTTTTCTTGTCCTTTGCAGGCCTCACCCCTTAGATCTGCTGGCCACGGCTTCGGAGACGCTGTCAAGTACTATCTGCCCAAGCTGCTTCTGGTGCCCGTTTGCCATGCCTTTGTCTACTTCGAATACATCAATCTCCTCAAGGATCTCAGCTCGTCGCAGGACGACATTGAGAGCTTCGAGCAGGTCCAGGGCCTGCTGCATCCGCTCCACTGTGATCTGGAGAAGGTGATGGCCAGCCTGTCCAAGGAGCGCATGGTGCCAGTGAGAGGGAGAGTGCGCCGCCAGCTGGCCATCGAGCGGACGCGAGAGCTTCAGCTGAAGGTGGAGCACTGGGACGACAAGGACGTGGGTCAGAACTGCAATGAATTTATTCGAGGTGAGTAGTGGGTTTACCAAGTGGTATCTGCGAGAACGACGTCTCTAAAATACATATTTTGCAGAGGATTCGCTGTGCAAGCTGGGATCGGGAAAGCGGATCTTGAGCGAGCGCAAAGTCTTTCTCTTCGACGGCCTCATGGTGTTGTGCAAAGCAAATACCAAGAAGCAAACGCCGTCGGCCGGAGCGACCACCTACGACTACCGGCTGAAGGAGAAGTTCTTCATGCGATGCGTCAAGATCAACGACCGAACGGACAGCGACGATCTAAAGAACAGCTTCGAGCTGGTCCCCCGGGGGCCGCCGGCCATCGTGCTGACTGCCAAGAATGCGCAGCACAAGAACGACTGGATGGCCGACCTGCTCATGGTGATTACCAAGTCGATGCTCGACAGGATTTTGGATAGCATTCTGCAGGACATAGAAAAGAAGCATCCGCTCCGCATGCCCAGTCCGGAGATCTACAAGTTTGCGGTGCCGGACAGCGGAGACAACATAGTGTTGGAGGAGCGCGAGAGCGCCGGAGTGCCGATGATCAAGGGAGCCACGCTGTGCAAGCTGATTGAACGCCTCACCTACCACATCTACGCCGATCCCACTTTCGTCCGCACATTCCTCACCACATATCGCTACTTTTGCTCGCCGCAGCAGCTGCTGCAGCTCCTGGACGAACGCTTCAACATACCCGATCCTAGTTTGGTCTATCAGGACGCCGGCACTGCTCCCCTGGGGGGGATGGGCGGCGTTGGAGGCGACAACAAGGAGCACAAGAACACGCATCGCGAGGACTGGAAACGCTACCGCAAGGAGTACGTTCAGCCGGTACAGTTCAGAGTCCTGAATGTGCTGCGACACTGGGTGGATCATCACTTTTACGACTTCGAGAAGGATCCCATGCTGCTGCAGAAGCTCCTTAGCTTTTTGGCAAACGTCAATGGCAAGTCGATGCGCAAGTGGGTGGACTCCGTGCTCAAGATTGTTCAGCGAAAGGTGGGATTAACTTAAAAGTTTTATAATTACAAGTTCAATTAATGAATTAATTTCTTGCAGAACGAACAGGAGAAAAGCAATAAGAAGATTGTCTACGCCTACGGGCACGATCCTCCACCCATCGAGCACCACCTGAGTGTTCCCTTCGACGAGATAACGCTCCTCACCCTGCACCCACTGGAACTGGCCCGCCAGCTCACCCTGCTCGAGTTCGAGATGTACAAGAACGTGAAGCCATCGGAGCTGGTCGGCTCGCCTTGGACCAAGAAGGACAAGGAGGTGAAGAGTCCGAATCTACTGAAAATCATGAAGCACACCACCAACGTGACGCGCTGGATAGAGAAGTCCATCACCGAGGCGGAGAACTACGAGGAACGGCTGGCGATCATGCAGCGAGCCATCGAGGTGATGATGGTGATGCTGGAGCTGAACAACTTCAACGGGATCCTATCCATTGTCGCGGCCATGGGCACGGCGTCGGTCTATCGGCTCCGATGGACGTTTCAGGGACTGACGGAGCGTCACAGGAAGTTTCTGGACGAGTGCCGCGAACTCAGCGACGATCACTTGAAAAAGTATCAAGAGCGATTGAGGTCCATCAATCCGCCGTGTGTGCCATTCTTCGGTCGCTATCTGACCAACATACTGCACCTGGAGGAGGGTAATCCCGACCTGCTGGCCAACACGGAGCTAATCAACTTCTCCAAGCGGCGGAAAGTGGCAGAGATAATTGGCGAAATTCAACAGTACCAGAACCAGCCATACTGCCTCAACGAGGAGTCCACCATTCGCCAGTTCCTCGAGCAGCTGGATCCCTTCAACGGATTGTCCGACAAACAGATGTCCGACTATCTCTACAATGAAAGCATGCGCATTGAGCCAAGGAACTGCAAGACAGTGCCCAAATTTGTAAGTACTTATTCCGTTGTCCAGAATGTTATCAAAATGCAGTGATTTTTTGTTTTAAATAAGTAAATTAAATTACATTAGGAAGTAAAATCTTTATTTTTTTACACTTTCAAGCGAAGAAAATTTTTAAATACATTTCGAGTCTTAATATACAGTGGCTAAACGATTGAAGATAATCATTACTTTTACTTTAGTCCTTGTATTAACATTTATATTGAACAAAGAATGTCTTCTTAATTATAAAACTAACGTAGTTATTAAACAAAAACAAATTTAAGGGCTTTTTCCATGCCTCAGCTTATTTCGTGCACTTCGTTTAAATCAACTTATTATTATTAATTTATTTTATGCAGTTTTGTGTGACCTTTTCTCTTAATCTGAGTAACTTTTAGAAGATTTTTCGATTAAATTAACAAATTTTTTTAAGGGTTCTAGAATAATTTTTATCAATGTGCCATAGGGCACTCCTCGTTGATAATTTTCGTAATCTTTCGGATGGCTAGTCTAATATTTGCTAGAATTTGTATATTATGTTTATGTCTGGGTGACTGTGATGCTGTTTTGTTCCCATTTGGACCGTTTTATATAAGCTAAAGCTTCCGAATGTCCAAAAGTAGTAGTAGTAGTAGGGGTTACTCTACAAGTAGTGGAAAACGATCCCAAATTACCATGTTCCCCACTCTACAGGAAGCTATTTAGGCCCAAACCAAGTCACGATCGCCGTCCTGCTGCACAGTAGCTAGCAAGGGCTCGGTTTCTAGCTCGATATAAGGTCTCCGACAATAATTTTGACTGCGTTCAGGAATAAATTAGTCAAACCTGTACTTGTTGGTAATGGTAAAATAAAAATTCCCAACGAAAATCGGCCGAATTATGAGATCCTATAAACATTTTAGACGATGCTACTCTGTTGGTTTCCTTATAAATGGCTCTTTTATTTATTTCGCCAACGTAGGTTCTCATAAACTGGCTACTTAAAAACTTAAATTAATACTAAATCGTGGCTAAAGATAGTTACCCTAATAATGGGCTCGTTTAGGGTATAGTTAGTTCTGCAGAATGGAGTAGAAAACGGTTCAAAAGATCTCAGTTGCCTACCCGGAACACAAGAATTTACAAGACTCAATAAAGCGGGACAGTCAACTTGTATTTTAAAACAACTCTTTTTTTTTTAGCCACGTAAATGGCCGCACATTCCCCTCAAATCGCCGGGCATCAAGCCACGTCGTCAAAATCAGACGAATAGCAGTAACAAGGCGTCAAACAACACCTCGACAGCCGCAGCAGCAGCCTCGTCAACGGCAACGGCCACAACGATAGCTACAGCAGCGGCGCAGCCTGTGAGCACAATCGATCCTACGTCGACTGGAGGTCTGGCCGACGAGCAGAGTCCCCAGCACAATCCGCACGCGTTTTCCGTTTTCGCGTCAGTTCTCATACCGGATAGAAGTGCCAGCGGTTGGAGCGGCACTCCGCTGCATAGTCGAACGGACCACAGCAACGGGGTTGCGGGAGCGGTACAAGCGCCACATATCCCTAAGAAACCGGGGGCTCATGTGTGGGCCAACAACGCCGCGACCCCCCTGGCGCCTGCAATGGATGTGTTCAGTCCGGCGCTGCCGGAGCATCTGCCAACGCAATCGCAGCCGGACAGTAATCCCTTTGCCGGCAGCATGTCGGATGCGCCGCCCTCGCCGCTGCACAGGGTGGTGGTCAGTCCGCGGCATGAGACGGCAACCGGCAACCGATCACCATTCCAAGGGCGGATGCAGTACAGCCCCACTCATAGTATTTCCAGTACTGTGACGCTCACAGGAATGATGGCTGGCAGCGGGGCGATGCCCGGCGAGGAGATAAGTCCGCAAACGGGAGGTTTCTACTACAACAGCGCCCATCAGCAGGGGCCGCCCGGAGCCGTGCCAATCTCGCCGCACGTCAACGTCCCAACCGCCTCAAACCTGGAGTATCGAGCTGTGCCGCCTCCACTGCCGCCACGGCGGAAGGAGCGCACGGAGAGTTGTGCCGACATGGCGCAGAAGCGACAGGCCCCGGATGCACCCACAGTAAGTGTTTCATCGCCCAATTAATGTATTCAATACAACGTATTCTTTCTCGTTCCAGTTACCTCCTCGCGATGGCGAGCTGAGTCCTCCCCCCATACCGCCACGGCTCAACCATTCCATGGGCTACTCACGACACAGCCAGGGCAAGGAGTTCGTGGGCAAGAGCAGCTTGCTTCTGCCCAACACCAGCAGTATTATGATTCGCCGCAACTCGGCGATCGAGAAGCGAGCTGCTTCAGCTGCCCAACAATCGGAGCCAGCGATGATGGGGTCAGGGTCCATTAATACAATGCTTGTGACGGTGCCGCAGCCACTGGGAGCGGACGAACAGCCGCCGCCGCAATCGATCTCGCCCGCCCTGAGCTCCTCGACTACCACATCACCGCTTACGCCCGCCACACCCATGTCCCCCAACATTCCCAGTCATCCGGTGGAGAGCACCTGCACGAGCACCTATGCTCGGATGCGACACCAGCACAATCATACGCAGCACCTGCCCCATCTGCCCCACCATCATCATCACCAGCACCAGCACCATTCAAATCAGACGCAAACGCGCTCGTCCCCCAAGGAGATCTTTCCGATTGCCACGAGCCTGGAAGGCACTCCCAAACTTCCACCAAAACCTAGTCTAAGCGCTAACTTCTACAACAATCCAGGTGAGTGACAGTGACCCTGAAGCATCATTTCCCTTGACTGTGATATTAACTTTCATTCGATGCAGATAAAGGTACGATGTTTCTTTACCCAAGTACAAACCAAGAATAATTTAAATTGCCTGGCGATGTGATAGGATAAAACAAACTACGAGTATGATCCGTAAGATTCAATGTTGAGAGCACTGCCCACTGTGCAGATATACATATATGTATGGCCGGAGCGGGAGTTATATACGTAGGTACAATTATGTATTCGAGTTGGCATGCATAGGCACATGCAGCAAATATGGACCGAGTTGGATCTGATGATTTTTATTATTCGAAACTCATTAAACAAATACAAACTCTCATTTACACAAGAAGCACAACACATGCATACACACACACAGATACACAACAACAACCACAACAACAACAAATGCAAAAATGAAATTATGTTATTATAATTATTATTATAAATATTTGTAAATATCGAAAAACATTGTATTGATCGTAGAACGTAAAACAATAAAATATAACACTATTGTTAGACAGTTGGCGATATCTTTTACTTAACCCCCAAATGATTCAAGCTCGGACACAAATATATTATTACGATTAATAGGTGTTAAATTATTGACGTAAAAGTGATTCATTATTGATTAGGCGATGAATCGTTAATGCACCGTTGATGAAAAAGTGTTTGATCGTTCGGACTCTCATCGATGATTCATCAAGAACACCGACCTGTATGCTGATGATTTACTGATGAATGGAACTGCTCAAGCACGCACAAATAACTGTAACAATTAATAGGTTGATTGGATATTTCACTAAGGATAAAAATCACCTCGAAAATTCACAAGTTCAAAATGAAATAAATAGATGTTAGTCATTCTGATAAGAAAGGGAAAAGAAGGCAAATAGATAATTTTACTTTTAAGATACAAAAAGTATTAAACGCAACATTTAAAAGATATTTTAATGACTGCCTAGCATCTTACGACTTTTCTTATATTCTGGAGGATTGTACTATTTGTATATGCTGAAGTTGAATTTCTGACCGAGTTTTGTGTTGTCCGTTTCCAGAATTTCCCATTTAAGTTACGGAAACGATGTGTCAACTACTGGCGTCACCATCTCCAATTCTAAAACCTACATGCATTCCCTTCCATGTTCTGTGATACGAGCAAATTGGTCACTAGTGAATGATATTGAATCGATCCGGAATTAAACAACACACAATAAATAGTTTTAAATGGAATAAATTTTACATATGTCACCAAACGGATACTGATGATACCTATTGGCTTATTTTATAAAACAACCTTAAATCCAAACTTTCAGCTTTTCATAAATCCAGCCGCCTTGACCTCGGACCTTCAAGAAGCTCTTTCTTTTATTAAGTTCTTATAATTTGAAAATAAGTGGTGACCCATTCAAGTTCCAAGAGAACTCAGGGTTTTCTTGTAAAGCCTAACGGCCTTGACAGCAGCATCACTTCAGATTACGTATGTGGCACCTGGCAGACTCGGGGTGTCCAACATAATTGGTAGCCACTATTAACATATATCGCTAATTAGCTTCGATAGGAAAGGAAAACTGTGGGGGACCACTAGAGCGGCGGCTGTCGACGCGGACTAATTGTACTAGTGGCAGTGCACTGAATGTGCAATTAAAGTTGATGTGAACAGTTTAGCACATACTTACAGTAGTATCTATATGAGGCAGCTGTGTGAGTTCCTTTCGCTTTTCTAACGTAAGAGACGTCATAAAGCTGATCTCTGAACAAATACTTCCTGTTAATTTGGGCTGCTCTCGGGGAAACAGGTTTTTGTTTTTGAGTGTATTTTCGTATTTTCGTGCGAATGCGTGTGTGTCCAGCCCCTTATCAGAAGTTATAGCCAGAGTTATGGGGTGCATCCAATAAATTCCCCCAGTTAGTTACCCGCACTCGATCCCAATGATGTGTCACTTAACGATCCGATTTTGGTTGGGGATTCGGTAAAGCACCGCAGATTTAACTTTCGCATCGCTTCGGTATGGCCTGCTGGTGTTGTTGCCAAGGTGAATAACATCCAGGGAACATCCAAAACGTCATTATTTCGCTAAGGGAACCTCAGAAATCCGAGGAAATGCGCAATCGGGCGAGCAATTATTTATATGCCAAATTGTGTCCTAGGAACACGTTAATATATCATTGCAGACACTTGGGAAATTTCCGATGAACATGCACTGCTAAAGAATCTCGCCCCCTCAATCCATAGCCTATAGTCAAGGTCACTGCTCAGATCAGTTATGGGATTGGTCATCGCAGGGGGAGGCTTGTTCTGAAGCAGCATATACTGGTAGATGGCTCTCGCTTTTCTTTCAACTTGACCAACATTCACGTAGGTGGCAATTACCTAACACCAGATCTTAACGACCTACACCAACTAATTCTCGTGTACAGCCCTCGTATCTGCCGATATCACGTTTCAGATGTGCAATTTACACAACAATTGGCCAAAGAATTATTCAATGAATTTGCATTTAATTCACTTGATTGCCGGTAATGAGAGAGAAACCCCGCGCATAATCATCTCGCGGCAATTACATCGGACGTTTTCCTACATAATTGTATTACATGAGCATATCAATTAGCCAATTACCCGCAATCTCTCGCCTCGAGACGGCAACTTGGAGAACTTTACGCTGGCCGGTGGCCAGTGGGAAATCCCTTCGGTGACAGGCTATAAACGGATGAGGGACCCCAGCCACAGGTGTGGGGTGCTCTTTCCTCCGATACTTTCCCCCAGGTCCGCCCAGGCCAGCAGTAGCGCCAGCAGCACCCAGCACCCAGAACCAGAATCGACGAGTCGACGATCGACGCCGATCGGCAGCTCGAGTAGCATTGTCTTTATGTAAGTGGCTTCGCGTTCGGATTCTGAATTGTGGAACTCGGCCCGCGTTTTATAAAAGCAGCAACAACAGCGTCAGCTCATTCAGTTCGCCCGCAGACCAATTCGAATCATTGTCAAGTGCAACAGCACCAGGAACAAACCGCCGCAGTCGCCATCGAAGCGTTAGCCAAGTGTTCCATACAGTATACATTGCCGTGAACAGCAGCCAAAAGAGCCAACAAAATGCTGGCCAGCGAGAACTTCCCTGCACACCACTTCAAGGAATCTATATTTAAGCCCTACAGTACGGGTGGCGATGATTTGGCAGCAGCCACCGCGGCGGTGGCGACCACGTCGTCATCGCCTGATACCGTCTCAGTCGACTTCGAGACCGCCCGCAAAATGCTGACCGCCAACGGATGCAGCAGTAACAATAATAATAATAATAATAACGCCACGGACACGCAGCCACAGGATGGCCTGTCCGGCTTTGTGGCCAGCCATCCGGCCGCCCAGTTCGAGGGCTTCATCCGGGCCTGCGTGGACGAGATCATCAAGCTGGCCGTCTTCCAGGGCACCAATCGCTCATCTAAGGTTGTCGAGTGGCACGAGCCCGCGGAGCTGCGCCAGCTCTTCGACTTCCAGCTGCGGGAGAAGGGGGAGTCGCAGGAAAAGCTGCGTGAGCTGCTGCGGGAGACGGTTCGGTTCTCGGTGAAGACTGGCCATCCGTACTTTATCAACCAGCTGTACTCCGGAGTGGATCCCTACGCCCTGGTGGGTCAGTGGCTCACCGATGCCCTCAATCCCAGCGTGTACACGTACGAGGTGGCTCCGCTGTTTACGCTGATGGAGGAGCAGGTGCTGGCCGAGATGCGGCGCATCGTGGGCTTCCCCAACGGCGGCCAGGGCGATGGTATCTTCTGTCCTGGTGGTTCAATAGCCAACGGTTATGCAATCAGCTGTGCTCGCTACAGATATGCGCCCGAGTCCAAGGTGAGTACCCGCTCGAACCCACTTCCCACAAACACAAGTGGTTTCGGGCCACACTTCCACACGGAAGTCCGCGATCCGCTCAAGGCGAATAGACGTCTAGCGCCACAGTGCAGGCCGAGATGTTAGTCATACCCATATAGCTGTGATATAAGCAAGTGAAACTGAGAGTTTTGCCAATTAAAAGACCTATTTTAATAGAATGCTTAGAAATGATTTCGATTTTTATGAATCCTGTTTATTTACTTTTTTTTATTATTCTGATTTACTAAAGGGAACTTTGGTTAAATAATTTAAAAAATTTCAAGTATGAAAGGCTCTATTATATATAAAATTATGGGATATTGATTAGCTAAAAATATTTATTACAAATTAGTTTATTTATTCTTCAAATGGTTTTATTTTATCAAATATTTCAATTGATTTTAAGTCGACAATGATGTCCACTTTTTCTATATTTATGTGTTTAAAATTTGTTAGTAATATATATTTTCCTAAGAATCAAGTAATTTTTTTTTAATTTAGTAATCTTTAAGGATTCATAAATAGTGTACTCCGTATTTGGAAAGATTATTTGTACTTGTTAAATGTACGTTAAAAAATTTTGTTTTTGATTTGTTATTATCATTTTTATAATTTAAAGAACTGTGGACTAAGAGGGATACAAATCTGTCTTTTTTATTATTTATTCATTATTTTAACCATTTTTAATAACCATTGTCGTCTGTTATATAAAAACTTAGATCTCATTTACTATAAAAGCTACATTTTTTCAATTTGTTCTTAAACTTTGCACCGCAATTTAAATCTAAAAAATAATTAGATTTAACTGCCGTCTTGATTTTCCAAAATGTTCGTAAATAGTTGAATGAATTTGACGCTAAACTGTCTGTTATCAAAGATTAAATCTAAATATTTGATTACGTTTAGCTTCACAAATTTTTAAGAAATAATTTAAGAAATTCTCTTCTTATATTTCACTTGATACATTTATGTATATATAGGAAACATTTAATTGTAAACCACAACGTTCCCCCTTTATTTCTGTATAGAAAAACGGCCTCTTCAATGCCAAACCTTTGATTATATTCACCTCGGAAGATGCCCACTACTCGGTGGAGAAGCTGGCCATGTTCATGGGCTTCGGCAGCGAGCATGTGCGTAAGATAGCCACCAACGAAGTGGGCAAGATGCGACTGAGTGATCTGGAGGATCAGGTGAAGCTGTGCTTGGACAACAACTGGCAGCCTTTGATGGTGTCGGCTACAGCCGGAACTACTGTGCTTGGCGCCTTCGATGACCTGGCTGGAATCTCTGAGCTTTGCAAGAAGTACAATATGTGGATGCACGTGGACGCGGCTTGGGGTGGCGGTGCCCTCATGTCCAAGAAGTATCGCCATCTCCTCAATGGCATCGAACGGTTAGTTGGCCCTCTAAGTGTTCCTCAAGTGGAAAGAGTTAAAAATAACTACATTTTCAGAGCCGATTCGGTTACATGGAACCCTCACAAGCTACTCGCGGCATCCCAGCAGTGCTCAACCTTTCTTACGCGCCACCAGCAGGTGTTGGCTCAGTGCCACTCGACCAATGCCACGTACCTGTTCCAGAAGGACAAGTTCTACGATACCTCCTACGACACGGGTGACAAGCACATACAGTGCGGTCGCCGGGCGGATGTCTTCAAGTTCTGGTTCATGTGGAAGGCAAAGGGCAGCCAGGGCCTGGAGGCGCACGTCGAGAAGGTCTTCCGCATGGCCGAATTCTTTACCGCCAAGGTGAGAGAACGTCCAGGGTTCGAGCTGGTCCTTGAGAGCCCGGAGTGCACCAACATCAGCTTTTGGTATGTGCCGCCCAGCCTGCGACAGATGGAGCGCAACCGGGATTTCTACGACAGGTTGCACAAGGTGGCGCCCAAGGTCAAGGAGGCCATGATCAAGAACGGCTCCATGATGATCACCTACCAACCTCTGCGGCAGCTGCCCAATTTCTTCCGGCTGGTGCTGCAGAATTCGTGTCTGGAGGAGTCCGATATGGTCTACTTCCTTAACGAGATCGAGTCGCTCGGCCAGAATTTGTAGTTTTCGAGTGGAAAAGCGAAAGCGAAAACTTGTAAAATGGTTAAGTGTTGAAAACATTCTTCTTAGGCTTATGCCGTACATACATATAATATTGTAGGGTATCGTTAATACACCCGGGTTGTATATATAATACTGGATGTTAAGTATTACCTCCAAACCAAGAACAAAATACATATTTATAGGTCTTTTGATTTAAATTGAATCTAATTCATTTCATTGGAAACTGGCAAGTGAGGCTGAACAGCACAGCTTGTATAATGGACTCAATCTTTATGAATATTTGAATCCTCTGCCAAGACCGAAGGTAATGAACTTTAAAGAGTTTTGCTTCGGTTGAGATTGCAAAACTCTCTCGATCTGCAGCTCGTCCCCCTTTCGCTAAACCCAGAATAAAAGTGAAGGAATTTAAAGAGGTACATTTTTACTTTTTTACGACTTCCTTGAAATGGAGAAGAAATCTCTTTTAAGGTAGGTAGGTTCCTCTGCTCTCTTTACACTGTAGAAAGTTAGTTTTAGATTTGAATTTTGTAGTGGGTATTCGAGTTTTAATCAGGATTTGCCAGACTGACAAGGATTGTACGCAGCTTTTTAATGATTTTCAACTTATCATCTCGTCAGGCAACATATTGATTTGATTTTATCTCGCGGACGATATGTAATAGTTATGCATTTTTCTTATTTTTTCTTATTTTTAACTTCATTTTTTTTATTAATCTCAACAAATCAAAGTTCTTTTAAGAAATATATTGTCTTTATGGAAAAGTAAAAACCGCTTCACAGACTCTTTTATTTTAAAATAATTAAATATTTCTTAAAATGCATTAAATTTGGCTGGACAAAATAATAGGTGTGCAAAGAAATATTTAAATTGAGTCAACATTTCACTAGTTTTAGACTAGGGTCCGTTTAAGGTATATGGCAGTTAACTTTAGAAATATCCGGCATTATTTTACAGGCCTTTCATTTCGTTCCTTGGCTTGGAGGATATTAAGGTCCCTAATTTAAGGACCGAAAAGTTTAAATTTGAACATTGTACCATGTCTTTTGGGCAATATCCAAAAGTGACATTTTATTTTATTATAAAGCCCATTATATCTGTTGTAAACTCCTAGGTTCTTTTTGAATAATATTTCCAACGGATTGCTTTTATTTTAAATGATTTTCAAATTGTAGATCTGAATCACGTTGTCGTCGCTTTTTAGCCCAGATCAAAAGTGACCGTTCTTTCTCTCTTACAAAATCCAACTTAAATCTATGATCGGTTTCTTATCGATAACTATACAATGGTTGGTCACACTATGGCGCGCCATATGAAAATTTAGGGGTTTACACTGTTTTAAATTCACCTTAGATATTTTTCATGAGCTTGAGATCCGTGAATGGTCTAAGTCACTCAAGTAAACCCATATTTTTGGTCTCAGAAGCAATCCTTAATGACTCGATGGACGTGTTCCCGATGGAATTTCCATAAAAATTTCATTTTACCCTTGGTATATGGTAGCATTACCACCTTCAAACAAACACAACCCAAGAAATGCAGTCCCATACAATTAGGCTACCACCTCAATGGATTCACAATGATTCTTCATGTGTACCTGGGATCACAATCTTTGCCTAGGACAATGAACATTCTCTTTGGCATCATTACATTATACATTTATATTGGATTCGTCACATTCGAAGATCCAGCGATCCATATCCGGTTCTAATATCTAGTAAAAATGTAGCAATCATCATTGAAGACTCGGTGGCAAAAATATTTTAAATTTTGTTGGTAATCGTCCAGCAAGTCTTTTGACCAAATAAGTAAAGATTTTATAGGGGTTTCCCAAGTTTCACAAATGTTTTTCGGGCTAAAAACATGTTGTCACTTACATGGAAATGGATGGATAAGTTTTTTTTTTGTCATCTGGAAATCCTTTTCTTCTTCGCATTACAATTGACGGCCATGACCCATCTTATACTATTCTATTCAACTATTTTTGGCCAGCAAAATATGCACTCTCAATACAAAACAATTCCCAGAAATCAAATAAGCATTTGGAAATCCCCCACAATAGTGTAATCTTATTAAAAATGTATTGTTTTCTTATAACATTTGGGGTTTATGTAGATTTTTATCGATATCTAACAACCAAATAGTACACCTATTATTTTGTCCACATATTAATACATATATAAATGTGTCATTTATTTTAACAGTGTGTTTTGTTTGTCTTAAAAATAATTTTAAAAATAACAGGAACTTAAACCCTATCCACAATAGTCTCTAAGATCTCTTAAGAAAAATGATAATCTATAGCGACGCTACTTGATCCAGTTCCATTTGCTAATATCACTTCCGCCGGCTTTCTCGACTGCCTCAGCCACGCTCAGGCTCTGACCAGGCTCAATCCCATAGCCGATGCGCAGACCGTGCGGATTTGATGGCGTGCGGCAGTCCATGTTGCACTCCTTACGCAACACCGTATCCACTTCCACGGACGAAAAGAAGGCCACCGACATGGGCAGGTCCCTCAAGCCGATGCGGGATACGCAAAAGGAGCGGGTCATGAGGTTCGTCACGTGCATAGCCAGCGCCGCCTTGGGGGCCAGATCCTCCTTAACCAAGTAGCGCAACTCGTCGTGGAAACTCAGACAGAAGCGGACATGTGGTCCCATCAGCCACCGCATACTGACCAGCATGAGGTGCAAGAAGTCCACGGCTCCGCTCTGCACGACCCAGTTTATGCGCGTCGGCAGAAACCGTTGCTCCTGCTCTGCACCGCCGTCTGCCTCTAGGGCCCGACTTAGACGCCCGCCCAGGAACGGTGTCTGCGGCTGCGGCTGTGTGGCGATCTCCTCGAGCCGATTAAACATTGCGCTTTCGGTGCCGCCTTGCCAGTAGGGACGATGGAAGACCTCGCCCAAGGTGCGATTTCGCTGGAAAGCCAGCCGTGAGGCCTCGTAGCTGGAGTATCTGCAAGGAGGAGCGTCAAATTAAGCGGCTTTCGCGGAGAAAACTTGAAGAATACTCACGCCCTGTCCTCCAATTCGTCGTGGAACTCCTCCCGCAAGCTGTATACCCTTTTTCCTTTGGTGATTGCGAACATCTTCATGGCCTTGGCTTTGGCCTCCGAGGCACTGAATGTGGGATTAAACTGGCGGAGAAGGGTCTCGGCGAACTGCTGGCCAGCGCCATAAATGCGGGCGTAGTTGATCACTTTGGCGTGGTCCCTTGAGATGCCGACTGCCTTGGCCGTGATGGAGTGCATGTCACTGCCGTTGGCCTTGCTTCCGCTGAGCGTCATCCAGCCGAGCGGCGTTGCTCCGTGCTCCCCACAGGCGTAGGCATCGCCGAGGACGGAGGCGATCCACAGTTCCTGGGAGTCGACATCAGCTCCGACCAGCTTGAATCCTGGGGGCGCCTGCACCATCGAACGCAGCTCAGATCCCAGGCGGTCCGGCCGAGAGTTTGAGGCTGTCATCCAGGTGGGCTCCATGGCACGACGGGTTAAGGTGCCACAGGCAACCACCTGGGGACAAATGGCTCCGTAGGCTCTGAGCTGGGCCTTTCCGCCCCTGATCTCAGCTGGCAGTTGCTGCTGATCCAGCCACACTACCATTTGACCCATGATGCGATCCCGGTTGTTCCTCCAGTAGGACATCATGCGAGCAATTTCCACGACCCTTGTGGCCTCCTGACAAGACGGATCGCCGCTGCTCAGCACGTTCTGGGAGAACTTGTCGAGAAAGTCCCTGGACAGGGGATTGCCCACCCGAAAGGAGGGTCCATTCTTGTGCGGCAGCTTCAGAAAGAAGCAGCAGTCCTCCAGTATCTTGTTGCACCACACCCCAGAACCTTGGTACTGGGTCTCCAGCCTCTGCTGCTTCTGTGACAGCTTCTTATAGTGCTCCCGCTTGCCCAGGTGCTGCTCCACCTGTTTGGAAAGCAAATCCATGGCCAGATCACTCTCTGCCTGCCCTGCGCCCTGGCGGGCAAACTCCGGAACGGGGCAACGCTCCAATAACTGCTCCAAAGGCAGCCGTTCAACTCCTCCAGAGTCGCTGCGAAATGGGACAAGGAAGCCCCAACCTTGGTCCCTCTCATAGTGCAGTGGATATCCCTCCCAGCAGAGGGAAAGCAGCTTGGGGGCAATTTGCATGCCGGTGCTGATTTCGGTGGCTCCCGGAGACCACAGGTCCTCCTCCTCCTCTTCCAGGACTTCTGCCGCTTCCCTTTTGTACCTGCTCGGCGGTGGCTTGCGGCAGAGCTTCCGATACCACAGCGGGTATCCCGGAAGCAGAGGTCTCCGAGCCGGCAGTAGGCAGTGTTGGTCATACAGATGCTGGAACTTGGCCTGCAGGCGTCGCTGCTCTGCAGTAGTTCCCACATTGGATGGGACCTCTGCCCTTGCCAATGGCTTCCGTTTGGGCGGCTGCTTCATTTTCAACTCTTGCACGCTCCAGTCCTCGTCCCACAGCCACAGATTCTGGCGGTACTTCTCGTCGTGGAGGAGGGAGCAGGCTTCCTTAGCCCTGCGCCCCAAATGGTACTTGGCCTCGATGCTGAGATCCTCGTAGGTGAGCTGCGCCTCTCGAATATATCGCTCCCAGTTGGAGTTCACTGGCAAATAGGCGGAGCCCATCTCCAGCATACCCGCCAGGGAGGCCGGATGGGGAAAGCGCTCTGCATACAGGGGGTACAGGACCCGAAGGACGCGGTGAGTGGCCTCCACATCGCCGGCACAGTAGTTGACCAGCGACTGAAAGCTCTGGCGCACTTGCTCCAGAGTTCCCTCAACGAAAATGTTCCTCGGCTCCTTGGACAGCGGCTCCCCGCCGCAGTAAAGACGGTGCACCTCGACCAAACTATTGAGCGAACTCTGCTCCAGCCAGGCCAAGTCCTCTGGTGCGGGCTCCTTCTTCGACTTGAGCATGGCTCGTTGGTAGCTGGTAACTCCACTTACGCACATGTGCAGCGACATCGTGTCCACAAAGCGCGTGCCCGTGTCTTCGATCAGGTACTGCTCCTTGAGCCTGGCCCTGTCGTAGGAAACATTGTGTCCCACCACAAGACCGGGTCCACTGGCTCCCAGGGGTATCAGTTCGTCGGGAGTGTGGTGAGGTCGCTCTGCGTCGGTCGCCCCATCCAGGGGCTCTACGCTGGGCACCCTCAAGCGGTGCTTCGTGAGCTTGGGACTCACCCACGAATACCATCGATTGGTGCTAACGGCGGTGGCCAGAACGGGAGCCTGCCCCTCGTTGACGCACACCTCCACATCGAAGACAAGGCCTTTTTCCGCCGGGTGATCCACAGGCGAGGCAGTGCCATCGACAGGATCATACGCAGTCCAGCCAGCGAAGAAGGCCCATCGCTGGGGTCTCTTTGGTAGCTCCGTGCACTGCACCAGCGGCAACAGTAGCTCCTCGTATGGCTGCACCTGCTCCCTGGCTATATTGTGGAAGTGCTCCTCGATATTAGCGCCTCGCAGCGGGGGCAGTTTCAGCTGGACATCTGCCTGAGGAGTACTGCTTTCAATATCGACGCCATGCCGGCGCAACTCGTCCTGGTACGCCTTGGCGGAGGCAAGCTGCTGTTCCGAAACGGTGCGCGGCTCCTGGGGGAAAAGCTGCGCGTGCAGATTCCGAGAGATCATTTGCACCTTCACGAGATTCTCCGCGTACTCTGCTTGGCTGCCGGCCTCATTGAGTTCCGCCTGTTTGGGTTTCTGGGGTGTCGTCTTCGGCAGGGGTTTCGCCCTGCGGTAGATCTTGAGACTGCTGCTGGCATAGCGCTCCCGGCTGGCCTGGCTGGCATAGTTTCTGAACAGGATCCGCTGCATTGCGAACTTACCAATCAATCATTTTTCAATGCGACTCGATCCCAACCGCTGTGTTTTTATTATTTCCTTGTATTTCGGGAATTTTACAAAATGCGGTCACACTGTCAGTTTTTAAATTCAAAAACAATTAGTGCTTAGTTTTTGTGGGAACTTGTATGATCTTAATTAAATTATTTGTTTTGTATGGAAAGCAAATCGACATGGAGTCACTATTAACTTAACTTTTTTTGATGCTTGGTTTAAGCTTTTCAAAAAATATGATCATTTTCCTTTATACAACGACAAAACAGAAACTTTAACGACATCGCAGACGATAAATCAGAGACCAATAAGCATTGTTTCCAAATTTTTAAAGCTGATTTTGAAGGGCAAAAACAGTACTTTAAGATGAACTAACGATTTAGAAACAAAATAAGGATTAATAGATAATAGAAGTTGTTTATCTTTCTAAAGTACTAAACTCAAGGCAATCTAATCTCTACATAACAAACATCAAATTCCAGCCGAATCCCTGTGGAATCCCTGAAACTGAACTGCTAACTGGAAGTAATAATACAATAAGCTGATTTGGCGAATAAAAAACATTTTATTCAGTTTGCTATAGAGTTGAAACACTTTAAAACACACACACAGACTTTTCAGAACCCTTGTAAGTGGAAGAAGTAGCGAGAAAAGAACGAGTCTCTTCAGTTAATTTATGTAAAAAGGCTTTCGCACGGTACAAAACAATGGGAGAAGCGCTTTTGGAAAACATTTTGGCAAAATACTGCGCACTTGGCCAGGCCAACGCCAACACACTCGCTAACAGACGACAATAACATGTAAATTTGGACCGTCTTGATCTGAACTAGATCTGTAGGTTGCGCATGCCGCCGTTTATGCCGCCCTGCTCGACGTTCCAGATGACCAGCTGGCCGTCGACGCCCGAGGTGGACACCTTGGTGGCACTGTCCTTGTCCCCGGCATACAAGCGGACGCTGGTGATGGCGTTCTGGTGAATTGAGTCCACCACCGTGTCCGTATTCTCCGTGCGCATGTTGCGGTCCATTGACTGAAAGATGCGCATGGCAGTGATGCCGCTGGACTCGCGCTTCTGCGACTTGTCCAGCTTTCCGCTGAGCACCAGCTTCCCATCCGCGGTCAAGCTGTATAGCAGAGGTACACAACTGTAGCCGGCTACCACGACGGAGGTTGGTGAGACCCACTCGCAGGAGAGGAAGGGCAGGTAGCCGGTCCGGCAGCGGATCACCGTGTTCCCGTTGGTGGCATCCGCGATGCTGACGCAACTGTCGTGCCCCACCCAGCAGACCTTGTTGCCGTCGCTGGAGAAGCTCACGCTGTTGATCCAGCCGCCGCCCGACGTCAGCGAGTTGCGGAACTCGGCCATCAGCTGGCCAAGAGGCTTGCGGTTGCCCCAAGGCGTCGGAGATGGCGGTTCTTCAATGTCCTTAATGAACGCCGAGAAGACGCGAACCTTGTAGTCGGTAGAGCCGGCCAGCAGGAGCACGTTGTTCGGGTGCCAGTCCAACGAGGTGACCGTCGAGCGGATAGGCTTCTTGATATGCTTCGACACCCACCAGTCGTTCTCCGACTCGAAGTAGCACACCGAGATGAGACGGGCTCCAGATCCCACAGCAAACTTGTTCTCCGCCGGCGACCACTTGACGCAGGTGGCTGCCCGATTAATCCGCAGCAGCACCAGCGTGGGCTTCCACTTGCCGTCCTCACCCTGCGTCCACACGTACGCGTTCCGGTCAGCGGCGCAGCTCACGATGCGGTTGGTGTTCTTGGCCCAGTCGATGCCCATTACTCGGAGGTCGTGCTGGTTGAGCACGTCCGCTAGCTTCCAGTCGCTGCCCTCGCGCCTGTAGATGTGGATTTCGTGGTTGTTGGGCGATAAGGCGATCTCTGCGGGTAATCTCGGTGAGTCACGGCTTCGGCAGCGGGTGAGTAATGGGAGTAATGGCACTTACGCGTCCGGTCCTTGTTCCACGCATGGCAGGTGATGGAGGCCAGCGAGGTGCCAAAAGTGAATGTCTCGGCCATGTTGGGGGTCTAAATGCGCTCGGAATGCAGTCCTGATCCAACTCCAACCACACACGTAGATTCAACTTCAGTTAGCGGCTCACCGGGATTGCACTTCGGCTTTCAGCGTTCGAGTGGGCGTTGTTTCCGCTGGCTGCGCGCTCCGCTTCGCTCTAGTTTTAATCGCGGACTCTGGGCCGTCTACACGATTAAGCTAGCGTTGAAGGATAGTGGCTGGTTTTCCTGCTCTCCAGAAGAGACAAACTGCGTGAAAAAGTAGTTTGGAAAAGTAAAATGCAGAAAATTAATCACCCGAAGAGTTTAAGTGTGACCGCTATTTGACCGATAAAAATACACCAACACTTGCCTTAAAAATATACTAAAGGTAATAATAGTTAAAAAAAAAAATATCCGCCTTTTTCCCGTCAAATCTGGCTATTTCTTGAAGTTCCTAGGGGCTTTTTTTTAAGCATTTATTAAATAAAATAAATGGCAAATAAGGTAAATATGTATAAAGGAACAAAATAAATGGAATCTAATTAAATAACCTGACAGCAAATCAGAGAAATACAACAAGTGTTCACGTTTTTGTAATGAACAAAATGAGTTCGAATTCGAGTGCGAGTTCGGAAGTTTCAGATCGGAGAAAACTAGTTTTTTCAGTTCCAGCAACTGATGGGATGGTAAAAATAAGCGTGTAAGTTGCGTTAACAGTAGCGTCTGACAGCTGGAAATGTATATTTAATTTTCATTTACCGTTCTTGACTATTTTCCTCTCGCTCTCTCTCACTGCTTCAAAATATTCGTCGTTTTCAGTATGATAAGGTGGCATTTTTTTCGTATGGTATAATTTGGCGCCCTTGCTGCGGTCCCACAGATTTAAAGCGGCGTTATGCTCGCAGTTGCTTGAAGCAAAAACCGTGTATTCTTAAGTAAATAAGTTATTTTAAATAAAGCGGAAATGGAAACACTTTGTGCCGCCTTGGATCCGATGTTCCCCTGCCGGGAGGCGGCCATAACCACTCTGGGCGAACTCATAGGCGACGCAAGGGAGGCTTACCCCTCGGCCATATACTTATTTGGACACAGTGGAACGGGGAAGACCGCTCTAACCCGAGCGCTGCTCAAGGAATGCTCCAAACGACAGGGTGTCCGAACTGCCCATTTGAATGCCATAGAATGCTACACCACCAAGATCATGCTGGAGAACGTGCTGGACTCACTCACGTCTCCACAAAAAGGGGACTCTGTAAAGGCTGACAACATGGTGGAGTTTGTGGAGCAGCTACGACGAGCGGAGGCCCCGGGCTTCCTCATCGCCGTGGATAACGCTGAACGACTGCGCGACATGGATGCCAATGTGCTGCCCGTCCTGCTGCGGTTACAGCAGCTCACCAGCCTCAACCTATGTGTGATCCTTCTCTCCCAGTTGCCCTTCGAAAAGTTCTACAACAAGACGGGTCTGAGCGAAGTCATCTGCCTGCACTTGCCACAATACAACAAGGCGGAGACGCAACGCATCCTGGGGTCGGACTTCGATCAGGTGCGCGGCCACTTACTGGAGCAGTTTGCCACGGACCCTGGACGCCTGGAGATCTGCGAGACAGCCATGACTGAGGACTTTTACAACAACTATTTGAATCTCTTTCTCAGCGTCTTCTATAAGGCCTGTCGAGATCTCCCGGAGCTGCAGCTAACGGCCAGGAAGTGCTTCGCCGTTTACCTGGAGCCCGTCCTGGACGGAGCAGTGGAAGCCAGTGACATCTCCCGACTGTGGCGGCACATAGCGGGTCCCCTGAGAGCGGCCCTCACCCAGATCTACATGCGCATTGAGAAACCACTGGAGGAGTGCGCCGAGAGCTCTGCCTCCTTAGAGGATCAGAGCGTGCGCAAGCTGGCGCAGTCGCTGGAGCTGCCCTACTACGCCAAATTCCTGCTGATCGCTGCCTTTCTGGCCAGTCACAACGCCGCCAACCAGGACAAGCGGCTTTTTGTCAAGCACCACGGCAAGCAACGCAAGCGGATGCAGACGGTCAATGCCAGAGCCAAGGTACCATAACGAAAGTCCCAAGTAACCAGTTGCATCGAAAGCCTTAACGATCCCATTCCAGACCACGGAGAAGATGTCTACCACCTTGGGACCAAAGTCCTTTAGCATCGACCGGCTGCTGGCCATTTTCTATGCCATTCTGGAGGAGAAAGTGGGCTTGACCTGCAACCTGCTCTCCCAGATCTCCACGCTTGTCCACCTCAAGCTGCTCAGCTTCGTGTCCGGTGAGCAGAACATCATGGACGGCTCCGCTCGCCTGCAGTGTACTGTGGGCCTGGAGTTTGTGCTCCAGATCGGCAAAGTGGTTGGCTTCAATGTTCGCCAATATCTGTGCGATTTCATGTAGCTGTTTTTCAGTTCTTAAATATATTTAATAAATAGTCCGGTACATCACTGATGTGTATAGTCTCCGACAGTCTGGTGTCCCTGCTCCGCAGCTTCATCAGGCCGTTTTCCAGTGTCTGCTCGCTTACCACCAAGGTATAGGGCACGCCAAGCATATCCGATTCCGCAAAGTGTTCCGCCAGATGCCGATTATCTTTGGCCGTGAAAAATCCTCTGCCTTGGCAGAGTCGCAGGCCAGCGTGGATGAGGACGTGCTTCAGGTGCAGGCAGAGGTCGTCCAAGTCACCCAAGAGCCTCGAACTTTCCAGCAGACAGGCGATTCCGCATTGATACGGTGCCAGAGCGCAGTTGAGCAGCAGGGATTGCGCGTCTCGACCATGGTCGCAGCCGTCCAGGAGAAGTGCTACGGTGGAAAAACTAAAATAACTTGCGAACTCAAAAGATACTGCCGCCTCTCACCGCAAGTGGCCGTCTCCAGCTCGATGACGGATCGTATGACAGTGGGTTGCACAGATTCTCCTGTCCGTCCGTCCGGCAATCGAAGGGAGCCCTCATCCCCTCCAAGTCTCACCATGCTCAGCTGTTCCACGGTCACTTCTCCGGCCTGTGATCTGAGATCGATGGCTTGATAGCTTGGCGGGTCGAGCTCCTCCGGCAAATCGCAGGGTACGATGCGGATGCGACTAGGATTCGAGGAGAGGCGCATCCACCAGATCTTGCTCTCGCGTTGCAAGTTGTAGAAGTGCTCCAGAGCGCGGTCTGGCTCCACCAGGAAGTCAGTTGTCAGAATAGAGGCGGGCGACGTAACACTGAAGAGCGGATTACCGCGGAGGCAGGCGGAACTGGAGCTGCTTTGATGCTTGACGACCGTTGGGCATTTGGCTTTGCGGGGATGCTCTTCGAGAAGTTGCTGCATAAGCGAACCAAATTCCGTGGTGCGGGCAAAGGAAAAGCGCTGCGTCGTTGGCGACGTGGAACTTGTGTGGGGGATGCCTTTTAGGTGGGCAGCCAAGGGACGCAGGCTCAGCCACTGCCTTTGCAATTGTTCGGCGTAGGCGCGACCGTGGGAGAGCAGCTCCAGTTGGCTACCAGTAAGGTGGTGGCGGAGGAACCCAGCAGAGGCCAGAGACTCGAAGCACCGCTGGACCCGGTTCATTGTTCCAGCGGAATGTTGCCCGGCGGGGAGACGTAGTAGTCCTCGTCGGTCACCCTTGCGTTGCGCAGCACCTGGCGCCGGCAGTCGCCCTCAGTCACCTGGTCGTTGCGTAACTGGAGCTGCTGCTGCTCCAGTACCGTGTAGAGTGGGCGCACGTGGTCTGTGTCGATGTGAGCGATCTTGTCCGCGAACTGGATGCTGCTCTTGAGCGTGGCAAGTGCCCGCTCGCTGTCCAGATCCACCAGAGACAGGCGCTCCAGCAGCTGAATGGTTTTTGTGTCGATCTCGATGTGGCTGGCGCTGTTTGTGTCAGGAAAGGCGGTGTCAACCGGCGTCTGCGGCACCTTTGTGGGATGCGTTAGCTGCTTAAAGTCCAATTTGGGTGCTTTTTCAGTCGCTTTCGTTGCAATTTTGCAATAAAATCGTTTACTCAGCCGCCGCCACATTTCTGCAGTTAAACAGTGCTGTCGAACTTCTGGCTAGAAAATAGCCAAGAATAAAACGCGTTCTTAAGCGGCTTTTTTTAACGTCAGATCTGCGGTCACACTGACGCTCCGGCTTTTATTTTTCATCTGCGAATTATTTTGTTTTGCTTCTTAATTAGAAAAAAAGAGCAGCAATGCCGTATGCCAACCAACCGTCCGTGCAGATTACCGAGCTGACCGACGACAACGTCAAGTTCGTGCTGGAGGACACCGAGCTGAGCGTGGCCAACAGCCTGCGACGCGTGTTTATCGCCGAAACGCCGACGCTGGCCATTGACTGGGTGCAACTGGAGGCCAACTCCACGGTGCTTTCGGACGAGTTCCTGGCCCACCGCATCGGCCTGATCCCGCTCATTTCCGACGACGTGGTCGAGCGCCTGCAGTATACGCGCGATTGCATCTGCCTAGACTTCTGCCCCGAGTGCAGCGTGGAGTTCACTTTGGACGTCAAGTGCAACGAGGAGCAGACGCGCCACGTGACCACCGCGGATCTCAAGTCAAGCAACGCCAAGGTGCTGCCGGTGACGTCGCGCAATCAGGGCGAGGAGGACAACGAGTACGGCGAGAGCAACGACGAAATCCTGATCATCAAGCTGCGCAAGGGCCAGGAGCTGAAGCTGCGCGCCTACGCGAAGAAGGGCTTCGGCAAGGAGCACGCCAAATGGAACCCGACGGCGGGCGTGTGCTTCGAGTACGATCCGGACAACTCCATGCGTCACACGCTGTACCCCAAGCCGGACGAGTGGCCAAAGAGCGAGCACACCGAGCTGGAAGACGATCAGTTTGAGGCGCCCTACAACTGGGAGGCCAAGCCGAACAAGTTCTTCTTCAACGTGGAGTCCTCCGGCGCCCTCAAGCCGGAAAACATTGTAGTGATGGGCGTCCAAGTGCTTAAGAACAAGCTCTCCAACCTTCAGACGCAGCTCAGCCACGAGTCCCAGAACGATGCCCTGGCTGTCTGAGTTACGATACATATGTTTATTTTTAGTTTATAAAAAGAGTGCTGCTGCCTAATCCTTGAACAAGCTGTCTATGTTTATGCCCACGCCGGTGTCCTTTCTCGCTTTGCTGGGAGCGGGAGACGTAGACGACGTGATTTGCTGGTTGCTTGCAGCCTCCTTAAAGTCGCTTACTAGTTGAGTCTTCACCTCGGCATCCAGTTCGGGAAGGTTTTCCTCTGCGGCGGCCGTGTCCAGGCGGGATTGCTGGCGCTGCTCGGCAAGGAGGTCCAAAGCTGTGTCGTAGATTCGTTGCTCATCGAGCGCTCCCTGCGACTTGAGGTCCTGGTAGATCTTTACGAAATGCTGCGATTGCGTCGTCCGTCTGTGGTCCAACAGGTTAATGGTCTCCTGGGGTCTGTTCTGCTTGTGGAGTTTCCTGTTTGGGCGAGAAGCAGGCTTTTAGTAACTGAGATACAAAACATGGTTACTGGGATAGTTCGAACATACGCCCTCACAACATCCTCTGCGTAGAATATGTTGCGCACCGGGATCTCGGGTGCGGGCCGGTCGAACCGGGGTTCAGCCTTCGGCGGGAAGGCAGCGTACACATCGTACCAAATGGGCTTGTCCTCAGATCTCATGGCTCCCCCACGCAGCAGGCCCTGAACTCTGCCAATAAATCGGAGTATTATATCAGTAAGTACATTCCCGAGGTCGCCACTTACCTCGTGAAGATGGTTCCAATCTTCTCCAGCCTACTTTGAGCCATTTTTATTGAGTTTTAATTGATTTTATGGAAAATTTAAGAAAACAGTATTACGACATGAGGGAAGAAATGAAGGTGCCAGATCGGAAAATCACGGAGAGCTGCCACTTCGCTGGAATGAGGGTTGTGTTTACGCTACGCAGGCCGCTGCCTGCTTGAAAATTCCAATTGGGGACATGTGGCAACCTGCCAGCCAGAACAGCCCCAAATGGGTTTCGCCACTGTCGCCGTACGGTCATACTGGACGCAGATTCCAGCAGTAAAAAAAATGCTCGTCTTAAGTTGTCCCACTGTTTTCTGGTAAACCAAAAGCGCTCCCCTCGCGAAGTGCGAAAAACAATGCAAACGGGCGGCTCCATCAGGAATATTGAAATATAATCAACCCAGATAGTGACACGCTGCAGTGTATTGTGACCGTTATACCGTAATTGTATCGTATCGGTGTGTTGTGATTGTTTGTACAGGTGCAAAATCGATCTACAGAATTGAGTCAATTGGGCGAAAACTGCGACTCTGAGAATACGAGACATCACTCTGCTGCCCCCGATTGTTGTTATTGGAAAATGTTCGGTCGGAAAAATTGTGCCACCGCTTCTCTGTAGTGTGTGTGTGTGTGCCGTGTGTGTGTCAGCAATTTAAGTTAATTAAAAACGTTAGCTAACTCTTGATTTCGCCGCCCCCGCCATGAGTAACTATCATCCGCATCCGCACGCGCTGCCCCATCCCCATCCGCAGCAGCTCCAGAATCAGCTGCAAAATCACCTCCAGAACCAGCTTCCGCCCCCGCAACAGCGCCACAACCCCACGCCCATCGCCGCCAGCCTCCAGCTGCAATCCGGTGGAACGTCCTCTTCGGGGGCAGCCGCCTCCTCATCCATTCTGGTCGCCCAGCCGCCGCAGCCGCTGATTAGCAACTCGCTGGCCATCCGCCAGGAGATTCAGCGCTTCGAGAGCGTCCACCCATCCATCTATGCCATATACGATCTGATCGATCTGCTCCCGCAGGCCGATGCCCAGATAGCCCAGTCCATTCGTGACCATGTGGTGTGCATTGAAGGTGAGTCCAGTTACCCAATACAGCGATTGTCCAAATATTCTACAGTTCTGAATCAAGTTACACTGTGACTTTTGTATTTGATGTACAAAAGATAATTTTAAGTCTTCCTTTATCTTTAATTTGATAGTTTATTAACCATAATTAAAGGGGTTTAGCCAGTCCTGCTAAATTATAACAACCAAATATTAGCATTTTCTTGAAAGTATTCCTTAACCAAACACGTTGTTTCATGCACAACCTGGTTTTTGAGCTCGAGGAGTGTCTTTCGAATGCCTTGCAATTTGTTTTGATGGTAAAAAGAGTCATCTTGCAATCTCGCAATTTGCGCTCAAGTCAGCGGATGAATTTCGACTTTGTGAGGACTGGCAGCAGCACGGACAACTCATTGGCTTTCATGAGGGCTAGATGTCCAGGCGAAATCCTTTGATTAAACATGTTTATCGCCGGCAATTGTATCCACACCTTCATTGTGTTATTTGTTATGGGCAGCGAGCGTCTGGGCTTGTGGTCGTCTTTGTTTGGAGTGCTCTATGCTAATCTCTGACCGAACATCTATGGAGCAACAGCACGGCAACCCCTGTGCGGGGATTATTGTTGCCAAAATGCCCATTGAAGCGGACCGGGGCCATTGAAAGTGTTGTCGTTCGCTTCGCCCGTTGTTCCTCGAAATAAAGGGCTTCGATTTTTTTTTTATTTTTATTTTAAACAAGCTTTTCTGCCCAATAATTTCCACTGTGAATGTGTGTGTGTTTGTGTGCTGTGTGTATGCGGGGCATGAAATTTGATGCCCTCTTCCTCTTGCGCTGGCTCTTCCTCTTCTGCTTTCGCGTCATCCTCGGCTTTTCTGTGGCAAACAAAAAAACTGAAACCGTTCACAAAATCAAACCGAAACCCGAAAACCGGTTCTAAAATGGTTTATTAGAAAATCTCTTGTCGAGCAGCAGCGATAGCAACAACAAAAGGCTCACCAAAAATGTAAACAAAATCGTCAGAGGCAGCGTCTACGTGTATACGATGTCCAATTCATGAAGTGCTTTCACAACCATTGCCCTCTTATCAACGTAATTCCGCAGAAGTGGTTGCAAAAGTGCACCTTTGTCTGATCCAAGTATCCAGATACTAATTTCGATTTTACGTTTATAAAAAGATTCATGAAACTGATCGCATAAACTCGCTAACAGAGACTGGACCTCTGTTTGCGCTCTTTTATCGTGCAAACCTGTTATGATGCGCGGGAATACGATCTCGTAAACCGTTTTGCACGCGACTGTCTTATTGGCATTGACCCGAACCCCAACCAGAAATATGCTTGTATGTTTGCAAGTCCAATACCGATACCGATTCTAATTTGCTGTCAGCGTGATGAATGATGTTTTCGGATTGGATTCTTATTGGCTTTCCCGTTCAAAATGCTTATTTTGGTATAAGTGTGCCTAACGGTGAAGTAACAATTCGGGAAGGTCAAAAGTATTGAGCTTTGAAGAGAAAAAATGGGGATTCGAATATTTTGTTAATAATGTCTTTTGATATTTTGTTAAAAATATGTGAAAAGCTTTCCCTTAATCTCAGCTGTAGGTAAATCGTTCCGAATTTAAAACACTGTAAGTGAGCTCGTGAGGGCATTGAACTTTATTTATCATTAAAAAAAGTACGTGATTAATCATATGCCATAACTGCATTAAGTTTATTAAACACAGAAAATTTACTTTATTTTAAGGAAAAATTGTGGTATGTACATATGTACGTATATATTTACATATACGTATATATTATATCGTATTTTATTGCTTCTAAAAAATACATATCTAAGCCTTCTGTAAACTTAACTATTGTTTGAGTTGCCAAATTAGCAAAATTAGCATATTGTGTCATAAATTGCTTTTTATAAATATAAAAGGCAGAATCCGCATTAAGATTCCACCTCGTTCTCTTTGACGGAGCATAAATAGTAAATCGATTAAACGAAATCAGCATATCAATCGCATTATGGTGACCAATCGATAATTGTATTTCAATTGTACCTGGAATACCCCCTTGCTGGAGTGCAATGTTTACATAAACACAAAGGCAAATCGACTGCTTGTTTGTTTGTAAATATGAAGGTAATAGTCGGCCCAACAGAAAGGCCGCCGGCGTCGGTGGAAAACAAATTTCCTCTCTTATCTCAAATGGATAGCAAGCGACTCCCCATTAAAGCGATTGCAATTAGCCCCAGCGGCATTTTGTTGGTTTTTTGGTACCCTTCCCGAATAGGGTACTTTTGTTTCCCTTCAAGTCTGCTCATCTTACATACCTTAGCTTTGCGACTTTCGTTTAAATAATTAATGATTACGAATGATTATTTTATGCTAGTCTATGGGAATTTGTTTGCAGACCAAGCACTTGGTGTCTTTTCCACTCCGTATTCGGATGCCTCTGCGACCCAGTTCTCATTATCCCAAAATGGCTTCAAAGTCTCTTTTCAGAAGTTATTATATTTTTCATCTAATTGAGATTTAATGACTTTTTAATTTTTTTACAGTTGCCGCAGCTCTTTCATTTCTTTCTTAAGATATTTTTAGTTTATTTTTTGTTTAAGAAATTTGACTTTCTTATCTATCTAAGATTCTCATTTCAATAAACCAAAAATAAAGTGTTATAATTGCTTCCACAAATATTTGAATTGCCTTTTCTCCTTGGGAGGAGTCTTATTTCATTTGAATAACTTTTATGGTGTATTTGAATAACTTTTATGGTGTATCATTAAGTGATTTAGTTATCAAGAGGTGCAATATAAAAGCACAAAGCAGGTCGGCAATAATTTGTTATTGGAAAGCTTGGTAGCTGCCGCTGTCTCTCTATTTTCGAGTGAACTCAACTTTTGGCCTCTTATGTTATCTGTCTGCGATTTGGCCTGCCGTCTTTATTGCTGCCTAGCTTTCGGCAAGCTTGTTTATTTACTTTTAATTGTACAATAATATTGGCGGACGAACTTGCGGAGAATTGTTTGTCGCTGTCATTCTCATATCAGTTTTTTATATATATATTTTTTTTGTATTATTTTACATTTCGTGCTTCTGTTTGATATGGCTTTTTGTGTGTGTCATTCGGAAGTGGAAATTGTTGTTGTGCATCGATACGCTCGAGAGCATAACATGGAGATGCCATTGGGGCCACAAATACTGGCATTAACAACACAAATGCAGTTGCCATACACAGAAAGAAGATTATTTTGGGCTGCGACTTATTTTTTATGAATTTTCTTTGATTATGCTAAGCTTATTTTTCAGTTTTTATAAAAAGTCTATACTCTTTTTGCCGCGTGGTAAGGTATACAGTTCCGATGTCATACCACTTTAAAATACGTCTTTCCGGTCTTTTCTTATGTAGTATTGTATGTCCAAGGTTCGTTTATGTTATTAAATCGATGGGAGCTTGCGGAAATTACTCTTTATTTTTGTTAAATAAACTCTATTTGGAAAGTGCTATCAATTCTTCCATAACTTCGTTTCTAACAATCCGACTAGCTCTACAAAAACAATGCTCCTGAATTTAGCTTCAGAGGTTAGGTAAAATGGTTTGATGCTGCTCATTTGAGAATGCAAAAACGAATAGTGGGGTTCACTACGATTTCTACACTAAGTAAATGATTTGCTAATTTTGCCAGTGGCTTCTTCGGTTATATTTGTGCACGCCGCTGGCTTAAGATTGTATCGCTGTATATTTCTAGGTTTTCTTATTGCACTTTTAATAAACATAATATTTCTTTGTGTGCGTGGATTACCAAATTTCAGTGGCACGACAGCGGCACATGTGCGACCGGGGAGTTGATGGCATGCGTGTTCGTCATCTGCTCCACACCCTGTTCCTCCACCTAATCGTTACATTCCTTCAACACACAGCCCTTTTAGTCGGCTTTCACGTGCACTAAGCGTTTATTTTTAACGTAAATTGCATTAAATATATCTTGCACTTTGCTTGCCTTTGCTATTTCAATTGGCATTGCACAACAGTGTGTGGTTGTCGTTCTCGATCGACCGAAAAAAGCTGAACAAAAGAAAGCTAATTTGGAAATGAATTTCTGCGCAATGGCCATTAAGTCATAATATTTCCAAATTTGGTTGTCGCTTGGAATGAATCACGAAATCGTGGTGGCTTTAGAGAATTTGTCATTTAATTAGCAGGCTACCTACGTACAGGTACAAAAGTGAGTCGGAATATTGAACAATGTTATAAAATAAAAGCTCATTCATTACAAAATTTAAATAAATGCATTATTTTTGTGAGTATGGCTTGTCAGAACTTCTAACGAATATGTATTCCTAATTAACATAATCAAGCAAATCGAATCGAAACAAGTTGAGTATCATTTATGAAAGATTGATCGTGAAAAATGAAATATAAAATATAAAAAAAATCGCACTACGGTGTCTAATAGAGGCTCTACCAATTATTTACATATGTACTTTAAGTTAACAAGGAAATTTGGAAAATCGAACTTTTGATTGGATCGTAATTTGCCGTTGAGTATCCGTTTATTTATAAAAGAATACAATTAGTTGCTCGAGATTTATTTTTTTTTAATAACATATAGTTGCAATATGTTGATATTAAGCTAAACACTAAATTCCTGAACATTTCAAAAATATAATTTAAGAGAAATTTGCCTGTTATTATTCGTAAAAGTATTAAATAAATTATATATTTATATTTCGATGCTGAGCAGTCTTATGTTCTTAAATTATTTATATCAAGTACTCCCATTCAGATATGATTCTTTTAAAGTGCATTGAAAATAGTTTTTGAGATAATTATTAGCAAAAAAGTTTTTATTTTCACATTTTCTGATTATACGGATATGACTGAGCTCTAGGATGTAGGACTTGGGAGGCGATTTTTACCGTCGAAGTGGTTCTCAACCACTTTTCCACTGATCTTGGCCATTTTCCAGAAATAATCAGCAACATCCGATACGAATGCAGTTGATATGTCCTGCAATTTTTTGCCCGTTAACACGATTTTGTATTGCATATCGGTGAGACCTGTCTCCTCCTCCCGGTTTAATAGCAAAGGAGAGCCCTTGAACTGATTTGCAAAATAATAAAGAAGTTATTGCTTGGACTTTTGCTTGGACTTTTTGGTCCAACTTACTTCTTCGAAAATGTCCAGCCACATTTTATCCTTTTCGTCCAGCTCACTCTCAGCAATGGCTTGGTTCAATCGCGTAATATACAGACGGATATCAGCGGCCCTCTTCGTTTGTGGATTCAGGTTGGCATTCACCTCCGTGAAATATTCGATCTGAGAGCGAAAAAGGGAGTTCAGAAGATTTACTGTCTCCTCCTTGGCCTCCTTTTCCAACGCCTTCTGTTGTGGATCATCAAATCCTGGGTTAATTGGCTTAGCGGTCGCCACCAAGAGCTTGAAATTTAACACTCAATTAAATCGTATGATTCTTGAAACACTTATAGTCTTCGTTTACCTGGGTTATTATTGGCAAAGCAAAATATTTGAGCAGCATTTCTTCAGGAAATTTTATTCGTACCTCCGTCGTGAATGAACAATAAATTTAGACTGATTTCGTATTATATATTCATATAGTCGTGCTATTTGATTCTCTAAGAGAGGTGATAAGCTACCGAGGGCCTGGAACAGATAATCTGACTAGGGATTTTTCTGACGCTCTCAGATCTCGTGAATACTACTAATTCCAAAGCTTTTAGAATTCCCGGTCATTTGAATTGCGTTTTAAGTATAGATCTCATCGCACGTTCCCTGAATCAGCGAGCATATTGGCGATTGATCTATGCTATGTCAAGGTCTGTCTAGTTGCTTGGGTGGTATGTTAAGTCGTGGCACGATTCCACTATCGATTGTCTCACAAACATTAAAACAACCTTGGCCATGCTAAGGATTTAAAATATTTCAATAACCGTTACAATAAAAAACAACAGCTTGTTAGTTTCTTTACTCTATTTTAAGCACACATATCAGAGGTTTATATATAAACAATATAAATATATAAACATTACTTTATATTTTCCAATGTTTGCGCATATACCCTTAGATAAGGAAAAAAAAATTATTAATTAAAATTATCCATTTAATTTAATTATAATGGGCATAAGTAGCAGTCATTGAGGGATCGGTCAATCAGTAATTTTGGCTTTTGGACATCCCTCACCTTTTTTTTCATTTGACCATTGATTTCACATGATCCAATACCAGAAAAAGTGTATTCAAACTTCGGCTTCCTTATCTCTTAAAATACTAAATTATAAATGGGAATTGTGGGCAGATATAGATTGATTTAAAATTGACAGTCAAGTCAAATAGACCCGCATGATACTACTGATCAACATCCTTTATCTCACCAAATCAGCCTCACCCAGAAAAAGTAATTAAAATAAAAAATAATTTTTGTCGTTCTTTACGTTTAATCTAAAATAATTTCTACAAACATTGGGAAACTTTTGATCATCCAAAAAGTATGCAACGTTTTTTCAAAGCTGTATGTAACATGTAAAAACGTTTCCACCGTTTTCTACATGAAAAGGATGTAGTGAAAAAATACCAAGGAATTTCAGAATAATAAAGGTTTTGAGTATCAATTGACTTTTATTTAGAGATCGCAATGGTTATAGTTTTTACAATAAAAATTCAAAAATTAGAGTTATTTAAAAAAAAAAAAAATTAAATTAAATTCTTTTATTAAACTTTTATAAAAAAGCTGAAGAATAATTATATTTTTTTAATTTTTATATAAAAGTTAAATAATAACTTTTATTTTTAATGTTTATAATAATAATTGAAAATAAAAATTAATCTTCAATTTTTACTTAAAAAAATTTTAAATAACAGTTATTTGTCAAATTTTATTTAAACAATTGAAAATAAAACTTGAATTGTAATAACTTTTCAACGGAGCGGCATATCTTAGAGATTGACATATGTATATAATTATATATATTGTGATTATCGCATTTGCATACAAAATACTTATACCAAATTTTTCATCTTTCCAGCTCAATTTTTTGGTAGTAACTTTTTTTTACTCATAACTCTTAGTTGTGATTTCTGCTTTTTTTCATTGCTTCTGTAATCATGGAAAATATTGAGCTCTTTCGAGGCAAAGAACCCTTACTTTTCAAAAACTAATATATGTAGCCAAGACTTTAAGTATTTGTATAGCTATAACACTCAAGACCTCAGCTAGCCTAATCAATTTTGGCGAAGGAAATGCTATTATAAGCTTAATCTGAGCGATTAGATTAACCAAATTGCTAGGGTGTTTTTGCGTGTTTTTGGCAGCTGCTGGTGGTAGCAGGCCAATAAAAAGATCGCACGGGTTTATGGTTCACACGTTTACCCCACCGCAAAATGTGGATGCAATACTCAGGTCGGGTATTTTTTGGTTTTATTGTGGATATTTGGTAATTAGTTTCCTCCTCCCGTGATAATGCCGATGATGTCGCTCAAAGTGCGGTCTCCGATCATCTCGTTGCAAATGGGGGTGGCAAACTCGTTGACCCAATCCGCGACGAAGTCTGTGTTGTCGTTGATTGTTAGGGTGACGAACTCTTCGATGACTTCGTTCATCTTGCGGTTCAGGATGCGGTACTTGGAGAGGTTCTCGATTTGCGAGTTCACATTGCCCACCGATGGGTAGACCAGGACGTCCTTCACGCCCAGTTTCTTGGATATCACGCCCAGCGAGTAGTTGATTCTGGCCTCAATGACCAAGTCTTCAAGGGCAAAGAAGGCGCCACCTTCGCGCTGCACGCGATAGCCACTGCCCACATCCGCCTTGTACTGAGTGGTGACATTAAGACTACTCCATTTTAGCGTCGACGTAACGCGGCTTCGGAACACGTCCACATTCATGATGAGCACTTCGTACGCATCCAGACCCTCCAGTATAAGGTCCTCGACTTCACCGTCAAAACTGAGCTCTCCTGTGCTGAACTTGACGGATTTCTTAGCAAGCTTCGCAGGAGCCAATACGGGAATTCCGTGATTCGGAGCTCCGTTGCGGAGAACTACCTTAAGGGACTCCAGACCGTCAGCAGCCACGCTGGAAAGGGACCGGTCCTGAGCTAAAAACAACAGGGCTTAATGAAGTCGTCGATTTTTATTAGAAAACGAATTGTCTTACCGGACATAGGTTCAGCGAATTCGGCGCCGTGACAGCTGCCAAGGGCCAAGATAAGTGCAATCAAGAGGAGGGACTTCATTTCTATGCCGGCACAACGCACACGTTAAACCTTTGAGGTAGCAAAAACCACTAGTCAAAATTTGACCGAGCCACTGCTCTTTTATAGCCATCGGCCCGTTGAGATAAACTATCTGTACGCGATGAAAATGTACCTCAAGTATCGTACCTGAAATGGGCAAAAACCTGACGTATAATAATCACAATAAGACTAGGTACGTTTACTCAAAAGCACTATAATCCAAGACAACAAATTGGTTATATTTTTGTATATATTTCTAATAAGATGAGGCTTTTTAGATTCATTTTAGACTGGGGTTCAATTAAATTTAAAAATATAATTTTCAATTATATTCAAATATTGTATTATTTCATTAAATCATTTTGTACCTATTGATTTGGAGTTAGTGCAAAAATAATACGTGCATACATTTTTTTCCGGTGTAGTTACTTAAGTTTGTTAGTATTCTTAATCGGCCAATAATTTGGCAAATGTTTTATGAGCGATAAGACAATACTTGAGATAAGCTCTCTAAAAAATGGATCGGTAAGTAAGTTGTAAATTCTATGAGAGCTTGTAATACCCCAAGTAGCCTTAAGTAGGTGGCCAGACATTATCAGTAAGTCCCAGAGATAACCTCTGAAAAGCCCAAGCCCAAAAAGATAGATCCACTGCGAGTTAATTCAAAAACGTTTGGTGTTTAATCGGCGATTATTTAATTACCACTCGAACTCGGGAGGAATGCACACCTCCTTCTCGCCACCCTCGCCGCCACCGGCTCCAGAGACGATCTCGGCCAGGCTGACGTCATCAAGGACGCTGTTAACTGCGGGCAGGGCGATGCTCTCAATGGTGTCGGCGATCAGATCCTCGTTCTCGTTAATGGCCAGCTCGACGGCCTCGGCCAGATACTCGTTCATCTTCTCGTTGATGACGCCATCGCCGAGCATGCCCTCGATCTCGGAGTCGACCTCACCCAGGTGGGTGCGCACCTCCAGGGTCTTGAGCTTCAAGTTTCCGCTAATCACGCCCAGAGAGTACTTAAGGGTGCCCCAGATGACCATATCCTTGATGGCGAACTTGGCATGGCCAGCTCCGATAAGGTTAATGGTGAAGCCGAACTTCTTGAGCAAGACTTTCAGGTCGTACTGGGTGTCCACGTTCACGTCGCGGAAGCTGAACCTGAAGGTGACCTTGCTGGTGATAGCGTTGACCTTCATCTCATCGATATCGAAGTCGTTGAGGCCATTCAGGCGGAAGTGGTCGATGGTTCCCTGTGCCTTCAAAGCGTCGGTGTCGATGTTGACCTCCTGGTGGTCGACCCTCAGGGGGGCCAAGGGCGGAATGCCCAGCCCGGCGAAGCCACAAGGCATCTGCTCCTGCACGCCCTCGATTACACCAACAATCGTGCTGGAGATCGAGTGGGTGCCTAAAGCGTGTATATCGCTGTATTAGATCTCAAATCAGGAGTACGGTCGGTCATCTCCGATACTCACCAATAGGCTCGCCCACCGAAGCCGCGCTGACGACGGCCACAAAAGCCAAAAGAGCCACAAAGATTTTCATTTTTGTTTTGACTGAGAGTCCTACCAACTGATCGCAGTACAGACGGTATTTATACTACTCAACCCTCCGGCCGGACGAGCCGCTTTTTATAGACGAACCGGCCGTCCAGGTGGGGCAAGAGATAAGGGGCTCCGCTCCGTTGTTCGTTCTCCGTCCGAGAACGATTGATTAGCCACCGGGGCGGGGTGGGCACTGGATCGATGCTTTATTGCTGTCTTATCTGGCCACGGTTTCCCGCTTGGCCAATTTTAATTTCAATTTGTTATATAAATCAGAGTACTTATCCCGAGGAAATGATCAGATCTGTTATTCTGATACGGATACTTATCACTTATATAGTTATAACTTAAGGAAAAACACTCTCCTCTTGGTGAGGAAAGTGTGTGCAAAGTCTGTTTAGGGCGTGTCTCAGACGATACTGGTTCCTTTGAATAATAACACCTTTTTGGCAAAACCTCTAGGAATAACTTTGCCCAAAAACTAATATTAGTTGTAATGATGATCAGCCATGCTGTAAGTAGTATCCTTAAAAATGTCGTCTACTTAAATCCAATGCATGTACTTAAAAAACGAAAACGAAATATAAAACGAAGAAAGGCCTCGTTTGTTTCGGATTATAATATAATCCATGCACTTCTCTGGATCTAAAGTCTGCAAAATGTTTGTTATTTGATTTACAATCAAGCCACTCCTGAGTGCCGTTGAAAGATTTATGACCGATAGCTTGAAATAGCTTATTTAAAGGACTTTTGCGGGTTAATCTATAAATAAATACCCAGATGGTAAATGCCAGGTGGCCAGTCAGATACCCTATAAATTAATTATGAACCAAAAAGTTTCCATCGGTCTTAGGCCAACGACTTACATTCCCAGGTGTGGAGTTCTTCCGGATGTCTCGGGTCCAATGATTAAAATCTTAATCGAAACAGGTAATAAATCACTTGTTGAGAACCTTTAAAGTTATGTGAAGAGTATGAGTCCATGCAGTTTGGCCAAGAAACAAAAACAGAAAACAAAAGCTACCCCCAATCGAGTGATAGGAATCAGTCAATAATACCATTAATCCGTGGACACCTGCATTGACATTGACGTAGTTCTTCCCCCGGTAGCCAGGCCATTTGCCTATATGTCCCAGTCGTGTGTGTTTCGCAATGATAGACCATAAATGTTCTCAAAACGAATTTGACATTCGATTGGCCAATTGGCCGTCGAGATTAAGTCAAAACAAGCCACTTAAGCGATAAAGTGGCTTTTTTTTGGATTTGTGGTCTTACAAAAACCGTACTCCGAGCAATTGAATTCCTGTGCGCTAAATCGGGAGCGCTAAATCGTGCTATTTGAGCTGTCCTAATCAGTAGGTGTGATTACCATGTATATGCTAACCTGGCTAAGTGATCCGAGCCCCAGGCCCCGCCCCCGCTACTGATCATTTTTTGCTATAAAAGGCGACGGCCGGCGGGACACAACAACCAGGTGGCTATACAATGAAAGCTATCGTCTGTGTTTTTGTGGCCCTTTTGGCCTGCGTAGCAGCCTACGAGGTGGAGCTTCTGAGCGAGGAGCAATGGGACAAGCTGGTCGAGCGCAATCGTATGTATATCCCCGGTCAATTGAGGGCCCATAAAGCAGCTGTTTTATTATTCCCGAACAGCCGTCAAGCCCGATACTCAGGGACTGATCTTGAACTCATCGGCCAAGAAGGCCATTAAGGGTCTGATTAACCAAATGCCCTGCGGCTGGCCCGAGTACGGAATCCCGCCAGTGGCCCCCTATACCAATGCTGATCTGCGAATTCACTTGGTCGAGTCGGTTGTCGAGTGAGTATCTTCCTCTATCCCGGGGGAGTGGGAGTATCTTAATCTAACACGTGTCCTCAGTTCCCTGTTGCAGTTCCTGCGCTTCCGTCTCGATGGCCTTGATGGTCTCGAGATCAAGAAGCTGAAGGTCAGTTACACCTTTAGCAAGAAGGTTAAGTTCCACTTCAAGTTCAAGGAGATTAAGGCCAGTGCCCACTTCCTGGACACTAACACCTTTGTCGATCTGCTGAGGAAGTTGGGTCTGTCTGTGCGCTACGAGAGCTCTGGACCCATGTCCTTTAGCCTGGAGGACCTGTCCATTCAGGGCGAGTTCAAGTACAAGATGCCCTTCATCTTCGGCTCCATCAAGATCTACAAGTTCCAGGTCGCCATTACCCTGGGTGGCGTGTCCTCCAACATTGGCGGAATCATGGGCAACGGCAGGATCAACGAGTTTATCAACGACGTTATCGACAAGGAGGTGCCGGCCTTCATCAATGGCAACCAGGCGGCCATCAGCTCAACGATTTCTGAGGTCTTCGGTCCGGTTGTTAACTCGTTCCTGTCGGGTCACAAGATCTGGTACCTATTCAGCCTGCTGGGTGCCACCTCCGGCACCTGCAACCCCACACCCGCCCCCTGGCTGGCCGTGGAGTCCAGGAAGATAGACTAAGGCAGTCAGCACCAATCCAACCACCAATAAAGAAATGAGCAATTCAAGCGAGCCCACGATCTACGTTTTAATTAGCCCCCATTTCGCGTGCTATCTCCGCACAGTATCTCCGTTGGCGTTATCGGCCGGGATTGATTTTGGTATATAAGTCTCTGCCCGGGGGTTAGCCAATTCAGTAGCAAGTTGAGTTACTGAAAGCAACAATCAACAATGCGTTTCCTGCTAGTCTTGGCCTGCCTGGTGGCCGCCTGTGCCGCCGGCACTCTGCCCAACCGAGTGGAGCAGCGTCTGATGGAGCTGGCAGATCAGAATGGCGACATCGATCTGTTTGTGGAGCCCGAGGAGGGAGCCGTCGAAGGTGAGACAGGAATCGAAAGAAATCTGTTTTTGCGAAATAATTCGAGGGAAAGATGTAGATTCGAAGTAATTTTGTTTCGAGTTGTGAAATTTTTTTTCAAGGATATCAATTACACTCAATAATTAATTCAAAGAGCGTATTCGGATTAGTTTTTTCGTTAGAAACATCAAAGTATAAATTAAATTGGTAACCTAACCAAAATTGTTGTCAAATCTCCAGTTGCGCCGCAGTTCATTTTGTCCTGGCAGGCACGTCGCTTCATCCGCAAGGCCCAGAAGCAGATGGAGTGCGGATGGCCCCAGTACGGTATTCCGGTGCTGGCTCCTCTTCGCATCAACGAATTCGACCTGGACTTCAAGAAGGGCATATTCGAGACTCTGAACAACGTTTTCCACCTCAAGATCGCCGGCCTGAACGACTTCAAGATCAAGAAGTTCAAGCTGAACGTGATCACCAGCAAGGTGACCTTCGACTTCATTTTCAGCAACATCGACACCACCGCCCAGAAGTACAGCACTGACACCCTGATCGATGCCCTGCGCCAGTTGGGTCTGTCCGTGGAGTACGAGGGATCCGGCGAGCTGCTCTTCGACCTGATCAACCTGCGCATTGCCGGCACCCTGAAATACAAGCTGCCCATGCTGTGGGGCTCCGCCAAGATCACCTCGCTCAAGACCACCATCTCCCTGGAGTCCGTGGAGTCGGACATCAGTGGATTCATGGGCAATGGCAAGATCAACCGCGCCATTAACCGCCAGGTAGAGAACATCGTGGTGAAGGCCATCAATGGCAACCAGCAGGCCATTTCCGACACCATCGAGGACACCATTGTTCCGCGTGTGAACAAGATGCTGAAGGGCAAGGACTTCTGGACTCTCGTGGACCTGATCCTGTCCAGCAGCGATGGCGAGAGCGAGGATGATCCGATTGTCGTCGACTGCGATCCCGCTGCCGATCCCTGGGCTTAGTTTCAGCAGCTGACTTAATAATAAACATTGTCGATACATTGAATCCCTGGTCTACTTTTGGGGGTTTTATTTTTGCGCGGTTCCCGAATCGATTTTCCGTGTATTTCCAAAAATGTTTTTGAACCATTACGATACTATGTAAATCGGTCAGTGAATAAACTTTATTCACTGATTTTGATCATTTAATTGTGTTTGTTTATAAATTACGATTTCTAATACTCATATTCTCTTTAATACTTTGGAAATGAAATTGAGAACTTGGACTCTTATCTCCTTCCCTGCCACCTGGCCTAATCCAATCTTATCGATTTTGGCTACTTAAGTGGCTAATCGCACCCAAGTAGTTGCTTGAATCAGTTACAGTTACCGTTTGACATTCGCAATGAGAACTTGTGTGATTTTGGTGACCCTTCTCTGCTGCAGCTCCTTGGGCTCCGCCAAGCTGTTCGACGATGAGCTGCGAGAACTGACGGAGTTCCTTCGTCTGCAGATGCGGTGTGGTTATCCAGCAAGGGGAGTTCCTATTTTGGCACCAGCTCAGATTGCCTACAAGGAAATCGCTACGAGAACAGAAAACTTCGGGTGAATACTCAGTTGCGAGAACAAAAAATGCTAAAGAATCTACAAGAATCCCTCTGCATGAATATCGAATATAAACGCGTATCAATCCACAGCTGCCAGGGAAACTTCACTGAACTCATTCTCGAGGGTCTAGATGGCTACGAGTTCTCCAAGCTGGAATGGAACAACGTTCTGCACACCATCAAGTTCGACATGAACTTTCCCAAGATATCCGTGAAGAGCTCCAACTACAAACTGGACATCTTGGCTAGTCTCTTCGGATCCGACTTCTCCCTGTGGGGTGATGGAGCGCTCGCTCTCGAATTGATCAACTTCCGAGCCTACGGTAGCTTCATTATCCGTCCAAAATCGGCGACCAGTGGCGTGTATGTGAAGAGCTGGAAGGTCAAATGGGAGTTGGGAGAGGCCAGGTCCCAGACCACGGGCATTATGAACAGCCGCCTCTACACGAAGTTCATTAACGACCTCATCAAGGAGTATCTGGAGGTCATGATCAACGACAACCCCACCGAAGTCTCTCAGTTTATGGAGGATCTTATTGTGCCACCAATGAATATGGTGCTGGAGAATGTGGCCTGGTACGAGATTACGGCTATCATTCTGGGCCTGGTCGAGGGCATTCTGCCGGTGGAGCCAATTTGCTGAAGTGTGGGAAGTCGGTTGGCAGGTGTTTCAAGTGGTCAAGTGTG